TATTGCATAATTTAAGTTAATTAATTAATTTTGTAGTTATTTATATTAAGCACATGTATTTATTGATAATGTTGACTTATCCATTTTAAATTAGTGGACTAAAATGCTTTGTAATAAGCAGAAATTGTTTTAATATATAAATTTATGTATCTATATATTGTTTAAGTATATATTACTTGTACTTCAGTGGCAATTTTTCATAATTTTCTTCGAATGTTGAGCATTCAAGATTTCATGTTAGTTGTAGATCTGTAAAATAAAAATACTCTTATTTTCATCAACATTTTGGTAAAGTTTACATTGTTTATGAATAATGATAGTATGTGTGATATTTTTATGTGATACTAATTAATGTATTCAATTATATTAATACAAATAGTTTATTCAATGCATTGAACCAAGTGAAATTTGAAATTAAGTATTATTTGAAATAAGAAACTTTTTATTTAAAAAAAAAGAAGGCCAAAAAAAATTAGTTTAGACTTAAAGACTTAAATACTTAAAAATTATCAATTTGATGAACTAGCTACATTAAACTTCTATGCATCAAATTCATGTCGTACAATAAATATTAAATCGTTTCATGCTAAACAGTTGTGTGGGAAAAAAAATTAAAATAATTACCTTATCTGATCTTGACAAAAGAAGTTGTAAAGATTTTAGTTTTTATTATACTTTATTTTTAAAGACTCACTATTTAAAAAACAGTCCAACAAAATTTATGTTGGATTACTGATGATTAAATTTTTATCTATAGTGGTGCTTTTTAATTATTTTTAAATTACATTTTAAAACTACTTTGTATAATTATAACAGTAGAAATATGAACCTTGTAGTGTAGTTGTTTTTGTCTTGGTCTTTGAAATTAGTTACACTAGATTAGATTTTGTATATTAATGTAATTTAATAATGAAACCATCTGACATCAGTGTGCTTTATTACATTCACTTAAAAGATAAAAATTATTCTGATAAGAAATTATTTTTAATATGTAATAGTCAAAAACAATTTACCACAATAACATGTTATTCAAAAATGAAATCGCTTTCAGATAATTATTTTACGCCACAGTTGGTTCAGTGTTAGAGCAAAAGATTTAAATCTGTATTTGAAAGACCTGAAACTAAAATTATTATCTTACTTCATTGGGCTTTTAAAAATGTAACAAAATATTATTTTATTATTTCAAATTTACATCTGAATTTAATTTTATTTTAAGAATTTGTTTTAATGAAAATATTTCATTTCAAAATTAAATTGTTATTACTAAAATTTACAGTGGGTTTTTTTTTTTATTGCTTATGCATTCTGAATGCTTTTTATTTTAATATTTTATATTAGTAAGATGATGATGAGTGACTAATAATTAAACTGCCCATCAATCAATATAATATGTGTATTAAATTATTTTAATTATTAAAAAGTGTTTAATTAAAATGCCGAAAAAAATTGCTGAAATTGAAAGAAAAACTGCATGCTTTTTAAGCAATAAAAGAAGTATTAAGTAATGTTATGAGTTACAATTTCGGGTGAGCATTTTGTGATTATATGCTTACAATTTTAAAATGTAATCCATCGTTTTTCCCCTACATAACTATTCCCCATTCAACGGCGGCTACTCTCAATCATCTGCTTTATGCATTTATTTTTTTAAAAGCGTGTCACGATAGATGGAATATATACTGGTTTAAGAGCTATTGCTTCCCTCTCTGAGGAGAAAAAAAAACAGAAATGCACGATAATGATTCAGAAAGTGATCATTTTTATTGCTTGATATAATTGTAATCAAAATATATCAAACATGAAAGCTAGAGATCTTCGGTCTTACATAACTGATGTCATGCTTTTTAAAGATTTTCCACCTCATCACGCATCGTGACAAAATGTCAGAACAATCAAAAATGAAGTAATACTTAAGAAATTCCTACAAGATAGATTATAACGGATTGTGTTCGTGCTAAACGCAGTTCCCAAGGGAGGTGCTCATTGTAAAAAATAAAAAGCTCAAATATTATGCAATGGACATTTCGAAAACAGAAAATAAAATGAAAATGAAAAAAAATGCGAAAACAGAAAAATACATTTAAAATATATGCTCTTAGATCTATGCTCCAATATAAAATTCTGCACACGGAGAAATGCGCATACAGACCAAAAAAATACACACAGAAAAATGCGCTTAAGAAATTTATGAGATGCATTTTATCTTTATTATAAAAATGTGCAATAGTCTATCTGAACAACGTCTGAGCCTAATAGACGTAGGTGTGTTCTGGCATGCTTTGGTAAGTATGTTTGTGTGTCTGTATGTCTACATAACATTTTCTAGCACCGCGGTTTATTTGTATATTAATTATTATAAATAAAAGTTAGGCCTAAGCCGCCTATAGGACTTAAATGTCATTTATAAGACTACCCAAATGAATCTTAAATGTCATTTATAAGACTACCCAAATGAATTTTAAATATATCATGTATAAAACTACCCAATTGAATCTTGCTACAGCCACTGTTTACACAGACCTTCATGGCTTCTGACATTCAACCTGTGTTTTCATTGATATTGTTGCAATTCGTGTTAGTTAAATGAGCACCACATTAAAAATCTTAATTAGTGTCTAGGCGTAATTGTGTTATTGTCTTGAAATAATACGCAGACGTTTTATTACTTTTGCTAAAAGATCAATGCAGTTAATGTTCCTTTGGTACAAAGTAGCTCAAGCTTTTTGGTGTTTTAAACAATATTTTGTAGTTAATGCAGTTACATTTTTAAATAGTTTATTACACGGAAGTTTTAAAGTAAGGCGTACACAAAAAATTAAAATGGTCCCTACTGCATTTGTTATAAAATGCACACCATCGACGTTTAATTATTTGGAATCATAGGAGTCGTGCATACGAAACATGTACACAAAAATACGAGGCATATACACAAAAATACGAGGCATGTACACAAAAGTTTAAAAACACTAAATATCTGTTTGTTTCAGTTCCTAACATTATTTCTAAAATGTCAAAGTCTGTCTTCTAATTTTCTGTACACTCCCACCCCTACCCCCTTACATAGCGTCACGTAAGTCAGGACTACTCTCACTACTTCCATTCCTAAGAGCGTGACGTCATTTATAGAGGTCATTTATAGATGACCCATCCCCCCCCCCCCCCCCCCCCATAATAGAGAAAACTGCACGCCATAACTATATTAGAAATATCTTTAAGAAAAATAAAACCAGACAGAAATATATTCTCTTTTACTGATATTAACTATTTTAAAAACTAAAAACAATTGAATGAGTTTAGCATGTGCTTTTGTGAGCAGCTTTCTCTGTGTGCGTAGGTTATCAATTATTTGTTTGAGCAATTTCAGTTTGCGTAAGCCAGTTTTAATTTTAAGTGAAATCATATGTTTGTCCGTCTTTGTATTTATCCGTGTATTGTGTTTGACTGTTTGATTGTGCGGTTTTTTGTCAGCAATTTTCCAGTGCGGTGTGTATTTTTTCCGACACAGTACCTGTTGTTGTTTGCGTTTTTAATTCGTTGATAAAATGCTCATATCAGTATATATTGCATCTGTATGTTTGTATCTGTAGATTAAACTTTTGTGAAGTATGTTCTGCAGGAAAGTTATGTCATACAGAGTGAAGAGTGACTTAATACTGACTCAGCGGCATAGGGAGGGGGTTATTGGAGAGGCTAGGCCTAGAACCCCTCCCCCCCCCCAGCCCCTCCCCAATTGACCTCTAGCATTTAAATGGTCTTAGATTAGGTTTTCAATGATAATAAACTCTTATCACTTTCTGGTTATGATTTAAAGTTTTGAATAACTTAAAAAATAATACTTTACATTCTTAAAAGTGCTATTTAGTAGGGTCTTTACTAGGTTTATTATACAGGCATATACATATAGGTATATAAAGCATACTTGTGTAATTATGTAGGCATACGTGTTAAAATATAGGCCTAAGCATACACATATACATATATATATATATATATATATATATATATATATATATATATATATATATATATATATATATATATATATATATATATATATATATATATATATATATATATGTAACTAGGGTAAGTTACGAGAAGTGAAAGACTAGATGATTGTGATGATTAACCTTTATTTATTGTTTATTTCTTTACAGACTTTTGAGGTCTGTTGGGAATTCGTTTTAGTTTTCAAGTGTTCAGTTTTAGTTGTTGATTTTATTTGGTTTTGCTGGTACCACAATAAAAGATCGAACCTACCATTGAGTAGAAGACAAAAGTGTTAACTTCATTGGTTACATATATATATATATACAGGGGCGTAGCGAGGGGGGGGGGGGGGCGGGGGGTGCGGACCGCACCGGGTGACACCATTTAGGGGGGTGACACCAAGGCAAAAAATAGCAAAATATATATAGAAAAACTTGAGGGGGATGCAAATCGAAAACTTGAGGGGGGGGGTGCAAAATCGAAAACTTGAGGGGGGGGTGCATATCGAAAGTTTGAGGGGGGGGTGCAAATCGAAAACTGGAAAGTTTGTCCCCGGGAAGGGTCGCAACGCCTCTGGGGGGGGGGGGTGACACTATTAAGTGCCGCACCGGGTGACACCCGACCTCGCTACGCCACTATATATATATATATATATATATATATATATATATATATATATATATATATATATTATATTATATTATATTATATTATATTATATTATATTATATTATATTATATTATATTATATTATATTATATTATATTATATTGTATTGTATTGTATTGTATTGTATTGTATTGTATTGTATTGTATTGTATTGTATTGTATTGTATTGTATTGTATTGTATTGTATTGTATTATATTATATTATATTATATTATATTATATTATATGTATGTATAAGGAGAATAAATGTACACTATGACTATGACTAATCCTGTCTACCCTACTGTTACATAACACAAGATAAAAAGTCCTATTGTATTTTACTGTCTACTCACTAGGTCGAATTATGACAATGTAAACATGGCAGAGATCTCTCTCAGTATTGCTATAGTGTGTTTGGTGCTCGCTCTTGCTACTATAAATGGTGAGTTTATTTATGTATGGTTCCTGTCTAAACACACACACACACACACTCACACACACACACATGGTATAACATGGCCGAAATCTCCCTCAGTATTGCTATAGTGTGCTTGGTGCTAGCTCTTACTACTATAAATGGTGAGTTTTATTTATTTATGCTTCCTGTCTAAACACACAAACACACACAGAAACTCTCATACACACACACATGGTATAGCATGGTCGAAATGGTAGAGTGCACGACTGCTAACCCGATGTTCTCGAGTTTGGATTCCGAGTTCGAGTCTACCCAGCTTTGGTGGGTACCTGACTCACGTTTAGGAAAGTAAAGACGACTGGGCTGACCACACCATCCCTTTATAGATGTCAGAGAACATTTATCTCTGCTTCATCTACCCCAGGCTCGAAAGGTCAACATGCCACTGGGAAAAGTTTGAATGCGATTTTCAATCCGCACTTCAGATATTTCTTGTCTTAACCATTTAGGCCCTTTTATTTCATTACGTTTTACTTTACAGTAACAGTTGCTTTGGCATAATCGTTAAGCTAATTTAACATTCGGCAAAAAATTAGACGATCCTGCTTTTTTAAAAATGTTATTAATGTCTAGGTGGTCGTCTATAAATGACGTCACACTCGTAGGGGGGAGTGGAGTCCGTAATTTTGTGACGGTGTGTGATGAGGGGGAGGGGGGGGGTTCAGATGTTGCGACGTCACACTTTTGCATTATAAAAAAAAAATTCATAAAAAACGTTTTAATAACAAGCTTGTATGTAATAATGCACTAAAAAGTAGAAAATAAATTCTTTTGCATTATAAAAAAGAAATGTTACAAAACGAATTTTAGACGTTATTTCGCTATTTAGAAAACTGTTTTAATAAATTGTAATAGGAATTGATTAAAATACTCTATTTTGACAGAGTTCAGACAAGAGTTTAGAAAAATATCGATGTTTAAAAAAAATTCAACTGCAATTTTGAGTGGGGGGGGGGGTTGTAGGCTGAGGTGTGACGTCATTTTAGGAGGGGGTCTGGCTTTTTGTGACGACGTGTGACGGAGGGGAGGGGGAGGTAAAAATCGTCCAAAAACCGTGACGTCATTTGTGGATGACCCCAACTATGTAGCCTAGTTAATAAAATCTTTCTAAATGTGTTCCTCAGTTGATGCGATTGGTTGTTTTGTGTGCACGTCAATCAACCACAACGAACCAGATTGTGAGGACACATTCAACAACACTGGCAAGTTTTACCGGGACGACTGCTGGGCCTCTCGTAGAGGGCGGGTTGGAGAGTTCCCCGCTACTCAATGCATTAAAATGGTCGCAGAAGATGGTGAGATAGCTCCAGATTTTAAATAACTTTATTGAATTTTTCAATGTGAATTCATTTATCGCAATTAAAAAAGTTTTCAAAGCTATAACCATACATAACAAATGTTGGTCCATGAAAGTGATTAAAAAATTAATTAAAAAATGTATTTCAATAGGCCTACATAATAAAAATACAATATTTATTTTGGCCCCTAATATTAAATAAATTTAATATTTATACTAAAAAAATTAATAATAGTTAGTACTAGATCTATATCCTTTAGTTTAGAGTAAATTAGAGTGAGGTTAATAAAAATTGACTCATACAATTAATTTAATTAATGAGATTAATATTTTGTAAAGAATGTAAATATAATATATTACAGGATAGAATTATAATATTTTTAAAAAATTTCAGATTAGTTATTGAAATTTTTAAAAAGAATACTGCATATTTTAAGTGTTCTAGCTAATTATATATGAAATTGTTATATTTAAAATAAGGTTTTTGTTAGTTATTTAATGTTACAGTTGTTTTGAAACTGTCTACTACACTTGAATGTTTTTAGGTCAATAAATAAATTAAAAATGTTTAAAACCAAATTCATTCAATCATTTAATAATAAACTAACAGCAACTTCTTGTTCAACAGCAAAAATAAATTTCACGATTGTGGTGCGGAGCTGTGTGGTGGATGATGGCGGAACCAACTCCGAGACAGAGATTGGAAGACAGAGCCACTGTGGATGGATGAAAGTTATCCAATACAACAATAAAAGAATGAGAGGCTGTATACTTAGCTGTGATAAAGATGCTTGTAACCATGGAAACAGAGCCCAGCTTTCTTCCATCCTAACTCTCATTGCTGCTGTCATTTGCTGTTTTCTCCAGGGAATCTTGTGAAGATGGTGTGTCTTTTGGTCAGGGGAATCTTGTGAAGATGGTGTGTCTTTTGGTCAAAGGAATCTTGTGAAGATGGTGTGTCTTTTGGTCAAGGGAATCTTGTGAAGATGGTGTGTCTTTTGGTCAAGGGAATCTTGTGAAGATGGTGTGTCTTTTGGTCAAGGGAATCTTGTGAAGATGGTGTCTTTAGGTCAAGGGAATCTTGTGAAGAAGGTGTGTCTTTTGGTCAAGGGAATCTTGTGAAGATGGTGTGTCCTTTGGTCAGGGGAATTTTGTGAAGATGGTGTCTTTTGGTCAGGGGAATCTTGTGAAGATGGTGTTTTTGGTAAAGGGAATCTTGTAGATTTGGTGTCTAATTGGGAATCTTGTGGGCTTATATTATGTTTGTGCAATAAGAATATTTTGGGCTTTTAAAGTTTTTAAAATCCATTACAATTCTGAACAATGATGATTTTTTTTCTGTACTTATAACCATATAACAGTATCTTATAACAATAATTCATTATATTCAGTTTTCTAAAAAAAAATGCTTTTTGTGTATTGCTCCTCATTTGACCATTATCAGTTGATGAAAAAGCTGTGTATTATTATACTTTGATGAAACAACCATTTATGATAATAATGTTGATGACACAGCCATGTTTGGTTATACTATTGTTATACATCTGTGTATGATTACACTGTTGATAACACAGCTGGTATATGGTTATACTGTTGATAATACAGCTGGTATATGGTTATACTGTTGATAATACAGCTGGTATATGGTTACACTGTTGATAACACAGCTGGTATATGGTTATACTGTTGATAATACAGTCGTGTATGGTTATACTGTTGATAATACAGCAAGCTTCTACTGTGCTGTGTGTTGTACATCTTTGGTCTGAGTGCTCTGGTTCACAAACCAACATGGCTTGGTCACAGTCCAGTTGTTTATATTTATTTATTCAAATATTTGTCTTCTTACTACCATCTTTAACTGGTTATTTAATAATTTTGTTAAATTAATCAAGTTTGTTGTCATTTATTCAAAGCACATGCATTTATTAATGTTGTTAATTTATTCATCTTTAATAAGTGGACTCACTTGCTTTATAATCAGCAAAATATTGATTCACTGTATATTTTTTAATTTACCTATGTACTGTTACAAATATAGCTTTGGGCTAAAATTGAATACTATAATTTAGTTGTAGACATGAAAAATGAAATATTTTTTTAAATTTTGGTATTTGTGAATTGTTTATGAATATTTATAGTATTGTGATATTTATCTATGTGATTCATGCTAATATATTTGTAACTGCATTATTACAAATAGTTTTCTTAGTAGAATATTAATTTAAATATTTTTTTAAATATTTCAACAATAAATTAAGACCACAAATTATTTTCCAGTGTAGAATTATAATGCTAAGTTTTAAATTACAGCCTTTTTTTTTTCTAACAATTATTGTCCTTGATATAAAAATGGGAAATAATTCCTGCTGGACTATTTTATGCAAAATAATTCTTGTATGCAAAAAAAAAAAAATTTAAAAAAGAAATATAATACTGTCTTATTAATAACAGTTCTTAAATATTAGCAAATAATTACTTTAAAAATGTGAGATTTTTAATGATGTTGATTTTTACTTTTATCTCAAAGACATACTTTTAAAGTATACCTTTCAAAAATATATTGTATTATTACCAAAAAAGAATCAACTTTGTAGTGTAGTTTTTTGTCTTGGTCTAGAGAGTTACTTAAATTAGATTGGATTTAATTATTATGTACTTAAAAAATAACACAAATTTTTAATTCTAGATACATTTTTATTAAATAAATAGGAGAAAACAATTATAATAATAAGTAGCATTCAAATATATACCATAGTCATTACATATATAAGACACAGTTAATACTGTTGTAGTGGGAAAGTGTATTTCTATCTGCGTTGAACTCTTAAATATTGTAACAAAATACTGTTGTTTAATCACAGTTGTATATCTCAACAAAATACTATTTTTTTTTATCACAATTGTATAACTCAATTTTAAGGATTTTGTTTAATGAAAATTATATTTCAAAATTAAAATGTTATTACTACAATTATCTTATGTTTGTTTTATTTCATATCTGAAGCAAAATTACTGTTTTTTATTCAACATAAATTAATTTAAGTACTACAAATGAAATGAAAAATCAACTGAAAAGTAACCAAGAACTATTCAAACAATTTTTTTTCTAAAATACAGTATTAATAGTATTTTTAAATTATAATTTTAAAAAATAACATTTGTAAAAAATAATTAATTCAATTCAAAATATAAGAGTTATGTATCTGAGTTTATTCATATTTGAAAATGAAATATTTAGCATCAAGCACACAAAAAGCATAGTTATCACTAACATGAATATTTTTATATTTTGTGAAATAATAGAAAAATAGGTTACGAAATGGCTCAACTGTTAACAGCACTAACATAGTTCAACTTTCATCTTATTTACAGATCAGCATTATAAAAGAAAATTTAAACTGTTTAAGAAAAATATAAATCCTTCTACTGTGTGATCAACAAGTTTGGCATGCCATAACACACTGTGTTAAATGCTGTCTTCTGTGTCGTTTTTTGGTTTTTGACTTCTGCAGAATTTCCCCTACTTTCTTTTGAGCTACCAACAGATTGTTTTCTTTTGTCTTGAGCAGGAGTTTCTAGTTCATTGAGAGAAAAAACATATTTTATTTCAGCATGAGTTTCTGGTTCATAGAGAGAAAAAACAGGTTTAATTTCAGCATGAGTTTCTAGTTAATTGAAAGAAAAAACAGGTTTAATTTCAGCATGAGTTTCTAGTTAATTGAGAAAAAAAAACATGTTTTTATTTCCGCATGATTTTCTAGTTCATTGAGAGAAAAAACAGGTTTAATTTCAGCATGAGTTTCTAGTTCATTAAGAGAAAAAACAGGTTTAATTTCAGCATGAGTTTCTAGTTCATTAAGAAGAAAAAAAACATGTTTTTATTTCAGCATGAGTTTCTAGTTCATTGAGACAAAAAACAGGTTTTATTTCAGCATGAGTTTCTAGTTCATTAAGAGAAAAAACAGGTTTAATTTCAGCATGAGTTTCTAGTTCATTGAGAAGAAAAAAAACATGTTTTTATTTCAGCATGAGTTTCTAGTTCATTGAGAGAAAAAACAGGTTTTATTGCAGCATGAGTTTCTAGTTCATTGAGAGAAAAAACAGGTTTTATTGCAGCATGAGTTTCTAGTTCATTAAGAGAAAAAACAGGTTTAATTTCAGCATGAGTTTCTAGTTCATTGAGAAGAAAAAAAACATGTTTTTATTTCAGCATGAGTTTCTAGTTCATTGAGAGAAAAAACAGGTTTTATTGCAGCATGAGTTTCTAGTTCATTGAGAGAAAAAACAGGTTTTATTTCAGCATGAGTTTCTAGTTCATTGAGAGAAAAAACAGGTTTAATTTCAGCATGAGTTTCTAGTTCATTGAGAAGAAAAAAAACATGTTTTTATTTCAGCATGAGTTTCTAGTTCATTGAGAGAAAAAACAGGTTTAATTTCAGTATGAGTTTCTAGTTCATTGAGAGAAAAAACAGGTTTTTATTTCAGCATGAGTTTCTAGTTCATTGAGAGAAAAAACAGGTTTTATTTCAGCATGAGTTTCTAGTTAATTAAGAAAAAAAAACATGTTTTTATTTCCGCATGATTTTCTAGTTCATTGAGAGAAAAAACAGGTTTAATTTCAGCATGAGTTTCTAGTTCATTGAGAAGAAAAAAAACATGTTTTTATTTCAGCATGAGTTTCTAGTTCATTGAGAGAAAAAACAGGTTTTATTTCAGCATGAGTTTCTAGTTTATTGAGAGAAAAAACAGGTTTTTATTTCAGCATGAGTTTCTAGTTCATTGAGAGAAAAAACAGGTATTATTTCAGCATGAGTTTCTAGTTAATTGAGAAAAAAAAACATGTTTTTATTTCCGCATGATTTTCTAGTTCATTGAGAGAAAAAACAGGTTTAATTTCAGCATGAGTTTCTAGTTCATTGAGAAGAAAAAAAACATGTTTTTATTTCAGCATGAGTTTCTAGTTCATTGAGAGAAAAAACAGGTTTTATTTCAGCATGAGTTTCTAGTTCATTAAGAGAAAAAACAGGTTTAATTTCAGCATGAGTTTCTAGTTCATTGAGAAGAAAAAAAACATGTTTTTATTTCAGCATGAGTTTCTAGTTCATTGAGAGAAAAAACAGGTTTAATTTCAGCATGAGTTTCTAGTTCATTGAGAGAAAAAACAGGTTTAATTTCAGCATGAGTTTCTAGTTCATTGAGAGAAAAAACAGGTTTTTATTTCAGCATGAGTTTCTAGTTCATTGAGAGAAAAAACAGGTTTTATTTCAGCATGAGTTTCTAGTTAATTGAGAAAAAAAAACATGTTTTTATTTCCGCATGATTTTCTAGTTCATTGAGAGAAAAAACAGGTTTAATTTCAGCATGAGTTTCTAGTTCATTGAGAAGAAAAAAAAACATGTTTTTATTTCAGCATGAGTTTCTAGTTCATTGAGAGAAAAAACAGGTTTTATTGCAGCATGAGTTTCTAGTTCATTGAGAGAAAAAACAGGTTTAATTTCAGCATGAGTTTCTAGTTCATTGAGAAGAAAAAAAACATGTTTTTATTTCAGCATGAGTTTCTAGTTCATTGAGAGAAAAAACAGGTTTTATTTCAGCATGAGTTTCTAGTTCATTGAGAGAAAAAACAGGTTTTATTTCAGCATGAGTTTCTAGTTCATTGAGAGAAAAAACAGGTTTTATTTCAGCATGAGTTTCTAGTTCATTGAGAGAAAAAACAGGTTTTATTTTAGCATGAGTTTCTGGTTTATTGAGAAAAAACATGTTTTATTTCAGCAGGAGTTTCTAGTTTATTGAGAGAAAAAAACAGGTTTTATTTCAGTAGGTGTTCCTGGATAATTCAACTTGCATAGAATGAGAATATTTTAATATCTGTTTTATAAGCTGGGCATTTTATATATACTGTTATTTTATATTATTACGAACTCCCTTTAAAATTTGTATTTATTTTTTATACTGTTTTTGGCTTAACAACTATCAAATTTGATGCTGATATAGTTTTTTAAAATAATAGTAACTAACAATTACCTGATAGTAGGTTTAAAGCAATGGATTTTCCTCTTGGATTATCATCTTTAAAAACAGAGTAAAAATAAAAGATAAAACTGAATACCACGAAAATGTTCTTTGTGAGATTTGTAGACAAAAACAATGAGTGTTGTAAAATGGTTGATATATTATTATTACTGGGATATTGGGATGGCATGGCCTAGCAGTAGAGAGCTAGAGTGATAAACCAAAAGTCTTGAGTTTTAATCAGTAGAATGTCTATGAGTCCACCCAGCTCTTATGGGTAACTAACTCACAAACGGAAAAGTTGATGATGAATATTTCTAGAAAATGTTTAGTAATCAAACTGATACTATCAGCTTTGCTTTACATGGTCACATGGTTAAGATTAGGGTATGTGCTAACACTAATGTCTACAGAGATACCAATAATATATATATATATATATATACATATATATATATATATATATATATATATATATATATATATATATATATATATATATATATATATATATATATATATATATATATATATATATATATATATATATATATATATATATATATATATATATATATATATATATATATATCCCACAGTCACACAACTGCTGCCTAGTAGTTTGCCCTTAGATAGACAAAGGGAATGAAAACAAAAGAAAAGCAGGCTGAGAGTTAACAGGCAATATGTCACATAACATTTGACAAGTAATACTAATTGTGTTGTGTATTGCATTCAATACTTTAAATAAGTAGAAAAAGAAGAATTATAGATATGATTTATATATTTGTGATTTTTAAAAACTCCCTACCTGATTGATTCGAGGCATTGGATTTTCTTCTTGGTTTATCATCTGAGAAACAAATTAAAAATAGAATATCAAAGACTGAATGAGGTGAAATGTTTTTGCATTACAATAAATGATGCAATACAATAAAAGGTGAAATACAATAAGTGGTGAAATACAATGAATGGTGAAATACAATAATAGGTGGAAAACAATAATTTGTGAAAAAACAATAAATGGTGAAAAACAATAAATGATGAAAAACAATAAATGATGAAAAAAATAAATTGTGAAAAACAATAAGTAGTGAAAGAACAATAAAATATTAAAAAGTCACAAAATAACACATAAAAACATGTTTTAGAGTGGACTTCATAAGAATGATAGCAATTGTGCTTCTTGTTTAGCCCTACTATGATAAGTTCCTGAAACAAGCTGTAATGTTAAGTGTGGACCTCCAACCTCACCCTAACTAAATTGGTTCAAGGTTTGTTTACATCAAGCTAATCTCTCAATTTCCACCTTAGTAACCTATTTGTTTAATATATACAACTTGTGTAGAATGAGGATGTTTTAAAAAAACTTTTAAATGAATAGTTACTTTAGTGATTATTTTATTAACTACAGCTAACGAATTGACAATCCCATTTTGTTGATATTAGCTCCCAAAGAGCTATCTAATTATTACAGACACAGTTTATCATAACTGCAACAACCCCCTACCTGTTGACAGATTTGAGACAATGGATTTTCTTCTCACTTTTTCATCTAATTAAAAATTGTAAAAATAGAGGATCAAGCAAGTGAATGAGGAAAAATTTCCTACATTACTCTGATTGGAAAAAAACAATGAATGGTAAAATATTCCAATCCATACAGTATTGCATCAATACATAACCACAAATATCCCAATCCAGTAAGTATTGCATCAATACATGACCACAAATATCCCAATCCACTAAGTATTGCATCAATACATGACCACAAATATCCCAATCCACTAAGCATTGCATCAATACATGGCCACAAATATTCCAATCCACTAAGCATTACATCAATACATGACCACAAATATCCCAATCCACTAAGCATTGCATCAATACATGGCCACAAATATTCCAATCCACTAAGCATTGCATCAATACATGACCACAAATATCCCAAGCCACTAAGCATTGCATCAATACAGGACCACAAATATTCCAATCCACTAAGCATTGCATCAATACAGGACCACAAATATCCCAATCCAGTAAGTATTGCATCAATACATGACCACAAATATCCCAATCCACTAAGCATTGCATCAATACATGACCACAAATATCCCAATCCAGTAAGTATTGCATCAATACATGACCACAAATATCCCAATCCACTAAGCATTGCATCAATACATGACCACAAATATCCCAATCCAGTAAGTATTGCATCAATACAAATATTCCAATCCACACAGTTTTACATCAATAAATAACCATGTAGTTGGAATTTGGGTAAGTACAGAGTAATCAAATAATATGCTGTGTTGTAGCTCTTTTGAGCTAAGAGAATCTGCCAGTAATCAAAGCAATTTTAACTAGAGTATAGGGTGAAATTGGTGAGCTATTGCTCTTTAGACAGAGTTAATGTTCATGGTATCTCAGGAGTGGTCTTGTTTTTCATCTACAAGAGTTCATTTTTCTTTCCTTCAAAAACATGAATCACCATATTTCTCCATTACTCCTCCATAATTATTTGAATAAAATGAAGCCCTATAACAAAAGCTTTCAGTCCAATGGCTATTCAATAACATCAAGCTTAATTGTTATCAAAATAGCATAAAGCACCAGCTATTAAAATAGCTTTAAGGTCCATAACTATCAAATAACATAAAGCTCTATAGTATTTACAATTAACTTGCTATTGAAACAATCTTAGTAGGGTTATCTTATTTGGAGCTGGTGGTGAATAAAGCAGAGGAAGTAGAGTTCATCTGTTTCTGCAACCTCAGTATATAGGGATAGTGTGATCAGATCAACGCACAGTGCCTTCTCTGTAGTTATTATTAGCTTGGTACAAATTAGAGCTGGGTGGACTCAGGGACATGGTGCAGGATCCAAACTTAAGACTTTCTTATTAGCAGTCTTGCTCTCTACTATCCCACCACACAGTCCATAGTTTTAGTAGTGAATACATAGGACTGATAACCATGAAATACTGACTTGTTCACGCCATATACACCCAGTTCCTGAAATAAATTCTAGAGCTTGGTCCTTCTACAACACTATAGTTTACCTGCTGGCTTAGCTGGGATCTCTGACAACAACTTTTCTTCCCTGTCCATTGCTTCTCTGATCTCCGGATTCTGGAGGTAGAAAAGTGCTTGGCCAGATGTATAGCCCCTTTTGAGCAAATCTGGAAAAATATTTGTTCAAAAACAATTGCATTTTAGCTGTGGTCTTGGTTTAACTAATGTACAAAACTTTGGACTAGGAATAATAAAAGAAGTCTTTAACATTAACAGTTATTAACCATTGAAGTAATAGATTGACCCTAAAGTTGCTAATGTAGCTTTAATTTAAATAATTTAGTCAATGTGGTTTTTCATTTTAAAATTAAGTTTCATTTACACCCCACAAATTCTGTAAACTAACAACTTGGTATAATATCCGGTGATGTCCTTTAATTTTAAAATAAACTTAAAAATGTTTATCTTTTTTACACAACTGTAAAATGCTTACATAGGCTAAATTATGTGAGCCATAAAAGACAAATTTAAAACACACAAAAAATTGAATACAAAAGTTATCCCTTACATTCCATTGTTTTCTCAATCTTGCCAGAGTTGTCTTCTAGTGTGGTGTGCCACTGGTTGCCAATGATGCACTTGACGCCTGCTAGAGTGGCTAGCATGGCCAGCTCAACTGGGGCTTCTAGGCTTAAGGACACTGGACTGTAGAACAATTTGTAAGAAATAATCAACTGGGGCCTCTAGACTTAAGGACACTGGACTGTAGAACAATTTGTAAGAAATAATCAACTGGGGCCTCTAGACTTAAGGACACTGGACTGTAGAACAATTTGTAAGAAATAATCAACTGGGGCTTCTAGGCTTAATGAAACTGGACTGTAGAACAATTTGTAAGAAATAATCAACTGGGGCCTCTAGACTTAAGGACACTGGACTGTAGAACAATTTGTAAGAAATAATCAATTAGGTCCTCTAGGCTTAAGGACACTGGACTGTAGAACAATTTGTAAGAAATAATCAACTGGGGCTTCTAGGCTTAAGGACACTGGACTGTAGAACAATTGGTAAGAAATAATCAACTGGGGCTTCTAGGCTTAAGGACACTGGACTGTAGAACAATTGGTAAGAAATAATCAACTGGGCCTCTAGGCTTAAGGACACAGGACTGAAGAACAATTTGTAGAAATAATCAACTGGGCCCTCTAGGCTTAAGGACACAGGACTGTAGAACAATTTGTAAGAAATAATCAACTGGGGCCTCTTTCATGCATCTTTTCAAGATAGGTTTTCTGATTATCTATTTTACTCTAAAAATTCTGTATGACATACATTTTGAGAATATATAATTTACTACATAAATGTGTATGACATACATTTTGAGAATATATAATTTACTACATAAATGTGTATGACATACATTTTAAGAATATATAATTTACAACAAAAATGTGTATGACATACGTTTTGAGGATATCTAATTTACTCTGACGCTGGAAACTTTTTGCGGTCTCGGCCAGGTCAAATGTGAAAAGTATGCCACAATCTGGAATGCCACAAAAAATATTGCCATTTTTCATTATGATTTATATGTTGAAAACTGCCAATTAACTTATGAGAATAAAAAATTAATTATCACTTATATCAGAAAGAAAGGTTATGGAAAATACTGTTAATTATTAGAAGACAACTCACCGGGGATGTTTAGTGCAGGAAGTTTATTTGGAGGGAGGTAAGAAAGGAATCTCTGTAGACCATAGAAAATGAAGGCAGAGCTGTCACACATATAGATCTCCCACTCTCCAACACTGAAGATCAACAAACACCATTTTTTTTTAGAATAAACTAAACCAACATTTCAGCAGACAAACGTACAAATAATATACACAATCCTAAGCAAATAAAATGAAACAACCAACTAATTGTAGCCAAAACTTTATATATCTATATATCTATATATATATATATATATATATATATATATATACATATATATATATATATATATATATATATATATATATATATATATATATATCTATATATATATATATATATATATATATATATATATATACTATCTATATATAACTTTTTTTAATCTGAAATAGTTGTCTATTTAATCTTTTGTTCCATAACTCCCAAAGAATTTAGAATTTTAAAACTTCTTGAAGATTTCTCTCAGCTGACCTTGGTGTATGGTCTGTGCCTGGAATGCCAAGCCACCTGGATGTGAACTGCTGCTCGTATGTCTGCATGAGTGTGTTAAAAACTTCTACCGGCTTATTGCTCTCTAACTCAGAACAATCTAAGAAAGGATCAACAATATCTATATTTGGTCAAGAAATTTGTTTAACAATTCTGAACAAAAAATGTTTACATCTAGTTTTCTAGCCTGCAGCGTAACTTAGTCAAATATCAACATGGGATGTAACTTAGTCAAATATCAACATGGGATGTAACTTAGTCAAATATCAACATGAGATGTAACTTAGTCAAATATCAACATGGGATGTAACTTGGACAAATATCAACATGAGATGTAACTTAGTCAAATATCAACATGGGATGTAACTTGGACAAATATCAACATGGGATGTAACTTAGTCAAATATCAACATGGGATGTAACTTAGTCAAATATCAACATGGGATGTAACTTGGACAAATATCAACATGGGATGTAACTTAGTCAAATATCAACATGGGATGTAACTTGGACAAACATCAACATGGGATGTAACTTGGACAAATATCAACATGGGATGTAACTTGGACAAATATCAACATGGGATGTAACTTAGTCAAATATCAACATGGGATGTAACTTAGTCAAATATCAACATGGGATGTAACTTAGTCAAATATCAACATGGGATAAGGATACATCTGAAGAAGTTTGTGTTGACTTCAGCTTGCCATGGCTGAACTTGACGATTTAGTGGCACCTGCAAAGAGATAACAAATTATTTAAATAAACTGTTTTATTTTCACAGCAATTATTTCAATAAACTGTTTTAATTCCACACTTATTCTGCTGTACGTTTTTTTTAGTGCATGCATCAACTGTTACATTCTACACAAAATGATAAACATGTTTTAAAGAGAGTCACTCTGTTTCATTCATTATTTGAGGTTACAAACATTTAAAATTTGTTTAAGAGCTTAGTCTAGAATATTTAAAGTGTAGCCTCTATGGCTGATGAAGTAAATAGTGAAGACAGTAAATTGAATACTTATAAATCAATAAACTGTATTCATTTCTAGGTTGATATTCAAAATATTCTGTCATTTATTTGATAGGGTAGGGTTTTTGCTAGAAAAAAAAAATATTCAAGGGAATAAATGCAAGTTTCACAGAATGTCAAATGTGATGAAGACATACAATTTTCGCTTGTTTCTGCTTGACATCCTTCAGTCCTACAATACGTGAAACAGCAGTGCTACTTTCTTTAGCTGCTTTCTTCTTGCCATCCTTAAGATCATCTGTGTATTGTAATAACAAAAGTATTGGTCAAATGTAGGAAAATAAAATTTAAAAAATACATTTTTTTTTAAAACAACAATAATTTTAATTTTAAATGAAGTAACTTAAATTGAGCTTAGAACAATGTATTAAAAATCCAGTTTAATAATGTATAAAAATTGTAGTTACCATTCTTTTCTTCCTGATTACGTTTTCTTAAAACCTGTATGGAGAAGTCTCTAGATATGGAGGAGACATTCTCCACAAGTTGGAGGTAACTGCAAGCCTCCAGAGGGAGCTGCATCAAATCAGGGTCAACAAGTAGAACAATACATTCATTCTGGGCAGAGGGATCTTTCACTGAGCTTTTATCTTTTGCTGGAGGGTCTAAGGGGTTAAAGTTGTTGGTAGATAGCACATTGGGTGACCTGAAAACAGTTGACATAGGGTTAAAGTTACTGGTAGATAGCACATTGGGTGACCTGAAAACAGTTGACATAGGGTTAATTTGTGCTAGAAGATCAAACATTAGGTGACAGTTGACATAGGCTTAAGTTGTGCCTAATGGGTTCAAGTTGCTAGTTAATAAAACATTTAGTGACATGAAAACAGTGATATTGGGTTAATATGTGTCTAAGGCAGGGGTCGGCAACCTTTTGAAACGGAAGAGCCAAAAGTTACAATTTACAAAATTTCCCAGACTTTAAAGAGCCACTAACATTTGTATGTGCACTTCGGTAGTGGAAAGCTTGGAACCATTGCCACAGAGCTGGCCACAGCATAGTTGTGGGGCTGGGCCTAATGCCTAATGCCCTAGGCTGTCAACTGTCCATATACACTCTATTCCACCTATTCTCATTGTTTTGTTTTTTTTAATTTCGTTTAAAGTTTTTGTTTTTACAGTATAATTTTTTTTTAGTTTCTATAATAAAAGAATATAATTATTATAGAACTAGAGAGCGGCATACTGACATCAAAAGAACCGCATGCAATTCATGCAAGCGAGCCACAGGTTAGCAGCATGCAACTCATGCAAGCGAGCCACAGGTTAGCAGCATGCAACTCATGCAAGCGAGCCACAGGTTAGCAGCATGCTACTCATGCAAGCGAGCCACAGGTTAGCAGCATGCAACTCATGCAAGCGAGCCACAGGTTAGCAGCATGCTACTCATGCAAGCGAGCCACAGGTTAGCAGCATGCTACTCATGCAAGCGAGCCACAGGTTAGCAGCATGCAACTCATGCAAGCGAGCCACAGGTTAGCAGCATGCAACTCATGCAAGCGAGCCACAGGTTAGCAGCATGCAACTCATGCAAGCGAGCCACAGGTTAGCAGCATGCAACTCATGCAAGCGAGCCACAGGTTAGCAGCATGCAACTCATGCAAGCGAGCCACAGGTTAGCAGCATGCAACTCATGCAAGCGAGCCACAGGTTAGCAGCATGCAACTCATGCAAGCGAGCCACAGGTTAGCAGCATGCAACTCATGCAAGCGAGCCACAGGTTAGGTTACCGACCCCTGCCTGCAAGTAATTTGGTTAACACAAGAAATCTTTTCTTAATAATTTTAGAAAGTGATCTAGACGAGAGCTACAACGGTATCGAATACAAATAAGGAATTCATTTTATTAAGGCGAAATTATCTTACATAATTACCAGTTTCGTAATTTAATTAGGGGTATTTTTTTCTATTAATATCAATAAACTTTTAAAGACAGACAAAATTAGTACATAAATTTTATTAATACTTATAGAAAAGAAATAAAACTCAACAAGGATATAGATAACTATTATATTTCCACTGGGGTATTGGTATTTTTTGTCAATTTGATAACATAATTTAAGTTGTTTCCCTTATTTGTATAAACTAGTATATGGGAAGTAACAAAAAAAAACCAACCGGTATAATACATATCTATCAAGTTGCAACATTGCTGTGTCATATAGAACAGGGGTGGGCAACCTTTTGAGACAGAAGAGCCAAAATTCACAATTTACAACATTTCCCAACTTTTAAAGAGCCAATAACATTTTAATTTCAATATTACTATTAAGATCTTTGTATAGGTATAGGTATATATATATATATATATATATATATATATATATATATATATATATATATATATATATATATATATATATATATATATATATTAGAAAGTTGTTGAGAATACTCCTGGCGAGTGATCTGTAAAAAAAAAATCAAATTCGCAGGGGTGGCGCCCCGGCAGGGAGCGATTTGTTTTATGACAATTAAAGTTGATTGCGGATTGACACTTTTTATTTATCCGATCGTCATGAAACTTTGTGGAGTTGATGAGAACACTCCAGGAGAGGTTTCTGCAAAAAAAAAATTCTTATGGGCAGCGCCTGGGAGGGTGCGATTTCCGTCAATACAATTTTTGGCGCCCATAGTTCCAGAGCGGATATGTTAGCACTTGGCATCCTTTAATCGGGCCTCCTACATAGTGGGTAAGGGGTATTATTATATTCAGCGGCAAAACTGCAACAGGCGCAGCAGCCAACACCTCGTCGATAGCGCGACCCGAAGAGACCCAGGCTCACTTGCAGGATGAGCAGCAATTATCGAATCAGGCGCCCCAGGCTTACCGCGAACACCATGTCGCCTAGGTTTATATTCTCTGCAGGGTGCATTTTGGAGCCCAGGGCTATCCCGCGAGCACTACACGCCTACGTAAGTTTTAAGGAGCACCCTACAATATTGATAATGCGGTACACGACATTCAATGATTAAACAGATCTAGGAGCTGAACGTGACGCCCCTGCGATTTTGTAATCGGGTTCACAAGAGCGCCACTCTCTGTCCCCGACACTTAGGTGGTGATTTAACTCAAGGCTTTCATACAACACGCCCTATGGCGCGCTGGGCCGTAGTGAAGGTAAACCTGTGCCCCGATAAATATGGTCCAAGTACAGGCTATGTTTAAATTGTAATAACTCAGTTTTAGAAAATAATGAAGTACATTGAAAAATGGAGAAACTAAATATTCTAATAGAATAGCGAGTATTTATTGTTTAAATTTATTATTATCTGGTTCATTACCGAGTGTTGCAGACCAATAATTTTATGAGTTTTAAAATAAAATAAAATAATTATTAGTATTTGTGCATGGAGCTGAAGAGCCACACCTTGACATCAAAAGAGCCGCATGCCGCTTGCAAGCCGCAGGTTGCCGACCCCTGGTCTAAGGGATTGAAGTAGCTAGTTAATAAAGCATTGGGTGATCGTAAAACAGTTGACATAGGGTTAAGATATGTCTAAGGGGCTAAAGCTGTTTGTAGATAAAAAAAAACATTATGTGATTTAGGTGATGTGTATTATTTCAAATATTAATCACACAGTTGGCAGTATGTGATGTCACACAGCACCAGGAAGTATTTTACTTTATTCACTACATTTCATTTTTTTGAAGACATAGCTTTGCAAATTACTAGTTTTTAATCCAGTGTGATTAATACTGTGAAGGAATAATTTGGGCTTTGTGTTCTAAGAGTCAAAAAGAGTGCGTGAAAATGGATAAAATGTTAGAAGCCAATTTTGATACATAAAATCAGTTATCATTAGACACATCTGCCATATTATTTTACATTTTGAAGTTTAACCATCTATTTAAGCAAAATAAAGTATTTCAGATATATATAAATCTGGACTACAAAAACATTCTGAAAATACTATCTTGATATCTGTATGCCAGTACCTCAAAGAGTTGCAGACAGGTTCAAGAACTTTTTTCAAGTACTGGTTCATGGCCTTGATAATCTCTTGGAACATGTTGTCCAGATTTTTTTCCTCTTCCTTGTAATCCAGTGGAGCCTTTAATTAGAAAGTTTAAATTACAAAACAAATTACGATAATTAAAGACAACCTAATATTAATTATGGCCCAATATATCCTGGGCAAAAATGTGAAAAATATGATGAATATTTTATTTATCTTTCATGTTTCCAACCTTCAAAGATATTTTTTGGTCTTCCTCAACATTCTCCAACATCTTTTCTCTGAGAGCAACTTGTGAGCGCTGATATTCTTTCTTTAGAAGCAGACTCTGTTGCTGCTGTCTGTAAACGTTCAGCTGTGCTAGAATATCTTGGAGGGCTGAGTACTGAGTAGAGCTGCCAAACAACCTTGCCCTGCTTACGTCTTACCAAAACAAAATTGTAAAATTAAGTTTTCAGTCATAGTCTCATTTAAAATGAAAGAATTGCAATAAAAAAACTTTCAGATGTTATGGTTCAATTTTTTTTTCAATGTGACAAATTATATTGTTTTAAAGACACTTTTTTACTTTAACAGATTGAACTTAAAGTTAGTACAGTTTAGTAAAAAAAAATGCATAAGCTTTGGATAGGTTTTTTAAAAAAAACTCAATTTTATAAAACTTGAGTTGAAAGGGGTCAAACAATGAAATTTGATTCAGTGAATGAACAGAGTGAACACATAAACTTGTCCCAAACTAAACACTCTTCAAAAAACTATAAAAAAATTTGTTCAGTGAATGAACAAAGTGAACACAACATAAATTTGTTGAAAACTAAACACTTGTGGAGCACCAAAATTTTTTTAGGTGAATGAACAAAGTGAATATAATATGAACTTGTTCTAATCTTAACATATGAGATATACCAACAACTTCTGGGATTGGCACAGCATCTAATTCTGTCTTTAGTTCTTTCGCTTTTTTGTCTTCCGCATCTAATTTTTTATTTCAAGAAAAATTTACTCACACTAAGGAAAATCAGTTCCAATTAAAATTTCAAACACCATAAAATATAAATTTAGTTTGAAAAAAAATTAAGACTTGACTGTTTCAGGTATTATCTAAAACATTTACAAGTCGGAGCATTTAATTTAGATGTTGCTACACAGATTATACTGTGCTTGTTAGAAAAACTTTTATGTCTTGTTCATCTTCCCTAGTGGTCAAAATTGTTGCCAGGGTCTAGTTCAAATACAACTGTTGAAACACTTCACCAGCTGTTACATTATAATATATATATAAATATATCTTTAGTTGGTTTTATGGTCATAACCACATAAATATGGCAAATGTCATAAGATAAATGTTAAAACAAATAAACAGGCATGTACTGGATTTAAGTTAGATTTACCATAAGATTTAATCATTAAGATAAATGTTGAAACAAATAAACAGGCACGTACTTGATTTATCTTTAGATTTACCAGTAGCCAGAACTGGACCTTTTGGTTTATCTAGGACTGAACCATACAAAAACTTCCTGCAAAAAATAACAATACGTGCTTTACATCAAAGATTTGTAGGATAAAGAAATGCTTAAATAATATTGAATCTACTACCAAGTATAAAAGAATGAGTAAAAACAATTGTATTAAAATATAATACAATGAAAATTGGTTGACTTTTTTGTGTTCAAACTTTAAAACTATTACTGTAAAAAGACAAAATACTTTTTTAAAATCAGTTTAAATTCATTGTTAAACATGTAAAAACAATTGTATTATCAAGTAAGTACTGTTTGTCAAATAAAAACAAAAATAAAAACAGATTGCTCGTGAGACCTCATATATTTTAGTGACTAAAACTATAATTAAAAAGGAATTTTGTTTTGTTTTCTTATTTTTAGTACATTCAAATGCTTATTATTTTGAAGGTTTTGTATATTTGTTTTATTTTCTAATTTTAGTAATTCATTCTAAAGGAAGATGAACATAGACAACAACTAAAAGAATTTGATTTTTAAAACACGATCCTTAGCTTGCAATACATAGAAGAAAATTATCTGCAAAATATATATAGATTTTTGCATTGTTATCGGAGATGAATGTATCTGGAAAACATTGCATTAGAAGTGGGTTAAAATAGAGTTTGATGATTTTCCAAAGCCACAAACAAAAACAAAAAAAAAAAAATTGTGAGCTAAATAAAAGTTTCTAAAGATGGACCTACTTGTCAGGAGAGTGTTGTAGAACAATGAAGTTGTAGTTGCCAGGAAAGTCCTTGAGTAGATCCGTGTAGTTGGGGCTGACCTCCAGCTTTTTACCTGCCTGGAGATGGGAAATTGGTTTATTCAGGTTCATTCGGTAGACTGATACTGTAAAATTTGCTTTTTACAGACCATTTAAATTGATAGGTTGGGGTCAGTCAATATCAATATATGGGGCTAGGGCAATATAGGGAACAGTGTGGCTATGGCAAGATTAGGAATAGTTTGGCTAAATATCTAGATAAGGGTGTGGCTGACTATCCTGAAAATATTTTGTCTAGCAATCAATATACATGTGTGGCTAACTGTAAGACACTCGTTTTAGAGATTGAAAAGAAAATGTCAAGAAGTTCCTACCTGCCAGTCAGTTTTCAAAGTGTTCTTGAGTTCTGTCAAGATGGAGCTGGTGCTCATGTTGGTCCTCAGGTCATTTTTCAGCAAATGTTTCTTCTGGTGGATCAGGGCTGCCAGCTTAGAGGTGGACGGGTCAGGCTGGGACTCAAATAACAAACTCTCTAGCACCATAGACACCTCACAGCTCTATGGAGACAATGGTATTAGTTCAACAAACTAGACACAGCTCTATGGAGACAATGGTATTAGTTCAACAAACTAGACACAGCTCTATGGAGACAATGGTATTAGTTCAACAAACTGGACACCTCACAAACTCTCTAGCACCATAGTCACCTCACAGCTCTATAGAGACAATGGTATTAATTCAACAAGCTAGACACAGCTCTATGGAGACAATGGTATTAGTTCAACAAACTAGACACAGCTCTATGGAGACAATGGTATTAATTCAACAAGCTAGACACAGCTCTATGGAGACAATGGTATTAGTTCAACAAACTAGACACAGCTCTATGGAGACAATGGTATTAATTCAACAAGCTAGACACAGCTCTATGGAGACAATGGTATTAGTTCAACAAACTAGACACAGCTCTATGGAGACAATGGTATTAGTTCAACAAGCTAGACACAGCTCTATGGAGACAATGGTATTAATTCAACAAACTAGACACAGCTCTATGGAGACAATGGTATTAGTTCAACAAACTAGACACAGCTCTATGGAGACAATGGTATTAGTTCAACAAGCTAGACACAGCTCTATGGAGACAATGGTATTAGTTCAACAAACTAGACACAGCTCTATGGAGACAATGGTATTAGTTCAACAAGCTAGACACAGCTCTATGGAGACAATGGTATTAGTTCAACAAGCTAGACACAGCTCTATGGAGACAATGGTATTAGTTCAACAAACTAGACACAGCTCTATGGAGACAATGGTATTAGTTCAACAAGCTAGACACAGCTCTATGGAGACAATGGTATTAGTTCAACAAACTAGACACAGCTCTATGGAGACAATGGTATTAGTTCAACAAACTAGACACAGCTCTATGGAGACCATGGTATTAGTTCAACAAACTGGACACCTCACAAACTCTCTAGCACCATAGTCACCTCACAGCTCTATAGAGACAATGGTATTAATTCAACAAGCTAGACACAGCTCTATGGAGACCATGGTATTAGTTCAACAAACTGGACACCTCACAAACTCTCTAGCACCATAGACACCTCACAGCTCTATGAAGACAATGGTATTAGTTCAACAAATTCTAGACACAGCTCTATGGAGACCATGGTATTAGTTCAACAAACTGGACACCTCACAAACTCTCTAGCACCATAGACACCTCACAGCTCTATGAAGACAATGGTATTAGTTCAACAAATTCTAGACACAGCTCTATGGAGACCATGGTATTAGTTCAACAAACTGGACACAGTGCACAACTCTAGACAACCCACAACTCTAGACACCCCACAACCCTAGACACCCAAAAAACTCTAGACACCCCCACAACTCTAGACACCCCACAACTCTAGACAATTCTACTAGTTCAACAAAGTCTCTAACACCATGAACACCCTAACATTTAGAAATATTGACAGACCACCATACCTGATGTAGAGCAAGCATCATTGACCCAGTGGGTGGGTCATACTGACCACACATCTGAACCATTTCATATGAAGCTATTGAAGCAAGGTCCTGTTCAAAATTTTTAAATTATCTACAGTGTGTCCATTATGTTTTTACTTATTTAATACACATTTTCCCCCTAGGTTTCATTTTTTGTATTGGTTAATTTTTAAACTAAATGATTATTATCCATTTAAAATTAACATAATATTTATTCAATTTTAAAACCCAATTAGAGTTATCAAATCTAAAACTGATCCCAGCTAATATTGTAAAACTTTTTGTAAAGTCCCATAAAAACTGAAACAACTGTGAGCTGTATATTAATAAAAAAAAAATTATTGCAGAACTTACCAGAAACTGATGCTGTAAACTTAAGGCTAAGCCGTGAGCCAAGAACTCACTTGCACACATTAAGAAATATTTACTTGACTCATGTTGTTCCTAGAATTATCAGTTGAAAAAAAATCATTGTACTGACAGGTAGCTTTACTAAATATTTACATTTTTATAACTATAATTTCAATTTATGTTATACAAAATTAGCCGGGCGAATCAAGCGAATCTTACATAGGTCTACTGTACTTTCTTTGCAAGGACTATCTCTGTATCTTTGTCTGTTTATCACATTACAAAATAACAATTTATGTCTAAATATTGTTTATAAATAAATCTAAGTATTGTATTTCAGCTAATATGCCTTGTTAACCTTAGAAAATTATTTTTAATTTTTAAATTAATTTTTTAAACTTGAAATTCAGACCTTTTTCTTAATGATGTCTTCTTGGCATTTGTTTGCTCGTTGCTGTGTTTTCTCATCAATCTCAATATTTGAATTAGTCTTCAGCACATTAGATTGTGAACTGGAGCTATGTTCATCTTCATCTTCACCATCATCTGCAATAGCTGCAGCTACTTCAGCCTCTTCCACAGCCAACTGCATCCTCATGATCTCCTGTGGATGACGGATAAAAAAAGAGATGTCAACATTTTGCCTAGGGAGACAAAGGATGCACCCTTAGTGTGCAGTTTGCGCCTCAATTCTTCTTTTACTTTTATAATGGTTATATTTAATATAATAACACACATAGAACCAGAAGCTAATGGATAAAGCAATTTAAAAAATTGAATTAATAAATAACTTTAATATGACAATTATATATATATATATATATATATATATATATATATATATATATATATATATATATATATATATATATATATATATATATATATATATATATATATATATATATATATATATAAAATTTAACTTTTAAAAAACAGAGCATTGTAGACTACTCACAATAATATATAAAATATAACTTTTAAACAGGAGAGCATCATAGACTACTCACAATAATATATAAAATGTACTTTAAAAAAGGAGAGCATCATAGACTACTCACAATATTATATATAAAATATAACTTTTAAACAGGAGAGCATCAAAGACTACTCACAATATCATGAACAATCCATGTAGCAGGTGGATCAGGTGCATGTTGTTGTCCCACCACATACAGAAGTTTACCTATTGCTACCTGACACTGCAGGTCAAAAAAGAACATTGTGCATTCATTAGAATAATAGCTCAAAGGGGGATTATCTGTTATATTAACACATAAACACTCTAGTTACTTAAACATTTTTTTTTAAATCAGAATTCACAATAGATGAGTTCTGGTTCCATTTTTTTGTTCATTGAGATCTAAATATATTTATTAAATTATGAAGATGTTGTTTCTGGAACTTAATTCTTATAAAAAAAAGTATTGACTGAAATGAGAAGTATACATAAAAAAAACAAAAACATGGACTACACAGAAGACAAACCCTGGCTTTTAGTCTGGGTATTGAGCTGCTCAGACTCTGTGCACTCTGTAGCAGAGATAATGCTTCATCACCACCAGTTCTGAAAGTTTTTACAGGTCTACGTTCAAGTAGTACACATTTTATAACAAGGTTATGTAAATTTCTAAGCTGACCCATATATTAAGCTTCAGAATGAAATACTGTATTACACTTTTGATATTAAAAGGAAGTTCAATATACTTTTTATGAAACTTTTAAAAAATTCATTTTTTTTTATATAAAAATTCTAATTCCTGTAAAACTACATAACATTACACCATGATCACCATGAAGTTTAGTAATAAACACATAACAAACATAAAGTAGGCTACAGACAACTTTCTTACTTGCAGAGATTATTCCATTCTGCTTGACTTTCTTCAAACACAGGTGTTTGCCTGATGTAGTCCTCTATTAGAAGGGTTATGGACATTTTCTTGGCGTTCTCCATCTGCCTGACGCGCACCTCATTTTCATTGAGCAGAAGAATCTCTGTCAAGACATCGGCTATCTCCATGTTCACATTTGCTAGCTCTCTTTGTATTGGTGTGTTCACATTTTTTATCTATTGAGTACAATGTAAACTTTAGATTTAAAGAGTTATGTACCTTCAGGAAGTGTTCTATAATTTTTTTTAAATAAAAAATTTTCTACACTAAGTTTTAAGTGACATGCGAATGTGTTACCTCAGAAACAGGGTACAGTGTATGAACATTCACAAACACATTCTCAATTAACTTAGCAGACTGATGCAGCACATTATAGGCCTGAAAAAGAAAACAAAATTCTACACCACAAAATTCATGAACTTAAGAATTAGTTGCTTTTTAAAGGACACAAAACTACAAAAACTCCTGGGCCAGTTATCAATACCTTGATACCAAAAATCTACTACAGGCAATAGTGTAACATACTATGTTTCTATTGGTTGTGATTCTATTTTTAAAATATGACCCGGTATTGTGCCTAATGATGTGTTAACTTATTAAGTCGTTAAAATCAAAAGTGTAATGTGAAAATCACCTGAGTGAAGTAGATCTTACACAGCTCTGTGTCTGAAGAGTGGAGAGCTAAATGCTTCAAGAGTTGCGCCCGTTTTAGGTTAATATTGGCCGCATAGCGAAAATGACCTAACTCACTTACAAGATCTGCTATGGCTTCGTAATGCTGAAAACATGTTTTAAACCTTTTTTATAATAAATAATCAACAAGTTTATGAAAGTAAATATTATATCTCCATACTATCCAATAATGTATATCAAATATCAAAACACTACATCATTTGTATTGTGACTAAATTATTAATCTAATGATTCATTTTCAACTTTATGTGAAACTAATCTAAAATAGTACAGATAAACTAATTTTATTAAATAAAAGATATTGAAAAACAATTCTAGACTGGAGTTTTTTTTACCTCACAGCCAGCAAGAATTAACTCCAAAACGTGAGAGCTGCTGTCAGATTCAAGTTTTGACAGTAAATTGTTTATGTAAATTCCAAGCAATCTGTTAAGATTTTTTAAATTATTATTTTAAAACTAGATTTTTAAAAATATAATTTAAAAACTAGAATTTAAAAAATACAATTTATTGAGAACAGAGACCTATTTTCTAAACACAATGGCTTTTTAAAATAATTTAAACAAATTCAACCTTAATATTTTGAAGAGCAAAGATTTAGGGAACTGACGAAAAAAAAAAGTGGAATGAAAACTGAACCTTAGCTCTAGTTTGGCACAATAAAGCCTAATAATCTTCTCTCTGCTAGGGTTGACTGATGAATATTTCTTGAATTCTTTGATTGCATGTGCTAGGATTTTTTTAGTCTACAGAAGAATTAAAAAATCCTTTAATATATTTAACTGACAGTTAAATTAAATAAAGATTATTTTCATGACGTCAGTGCATCTTTATTAAACTTAGAAATATGAGAGTTCTACAACACAACTCACTTTACTGGCTGAGTTAGGATTGGCCTTGTCCATGAGTGTTGCTTTAGCCAGAAGTTTGGTCACTTCATACCAAAAGCTCTCCTCTCCAAACTTTAGCTCCTAGTGAAAATATTTCAGACACTCATTAAAGATAAGGAAACACCACAAGACACTCATTAAAGATAAGGAAACACCACAAGACACTCATTAAAGATAAGGAAATACCACAAGACACTCATTAAAGATAAGGAAATAGCACAAGACACTCATTAAAGATAAGGAAACACCACTAGACACTCATTAAAGATAAGAAAACACCACTAGACACTCATTAAAGATAAGGAAATACCACAAGACACTCATTAAAGATAAGGAAACACCACTAGACACTCATTAAAGATAAGGAAACACCACAAGCCACTTATTAAGGGGGAAGGCTCCGGTAAAAAAAAAATTTTAATACTCGTTAGAAAACAGTTATTTCTTTACAGCTTTATTAAGATACATCCGCATATGCATTTCCACTAAAAAAAAATTGGTGAAAAAATCTTGGTAACTATGACAACGGCGGCCATCTTAAAAAATTAACCCCTTCGTAGGTTTTCCACAATTCATAAAATATTACATTTTAAGCCCAATAAACAATTAATTTATAATCTTCTTCCATATTTTGGGGCACTCAGCTAAAAATTTTAAATGCATATCTTCAAACTAATTTTTTATGAATTTTCAAAATTTGTGTCCGTTCAAAACACTTAATTTTGGGGAATTTTGGGGCATTAAAACTAGTGTTTTTAATGGACCCACAATTGTACAAATGAATAGAACTTGTGTTGTGTTTTAATAAGATGCTGCTAAAGATGACACAATGTACTATAAATCAATCTGAAAAAAGTTGAAAATGTATAACCTGAGCTTTTGTACACAGCACAACTGTTTGTCCATACTGAGCTTCATAGAATGACAACTTGGCCAAGAGAAGCAAAATTTTGGCTTGAAGATTTTTGTCTGAATAGGCCTGTGGATACAGTTCAGTTAGTCAAGTAAATTTTTGTCTCAATAGGCCTGTGGATACAGTTCAGTTAGTCAAACAAATTTTTGTCTCAATAGGTCTGTGGATACAGTTCAGTTACTCAAACAAATTTTTGTCTCAATAGGTCTGTGGATACAGTTCAGTTAGTCAAGTAAATATTTGTCTCAATAGGCCTGTGGATACAGTTCAGTTAGTCAAGTAAATATTTGTCTCAATATGCCTGTGGATACAGTTCAGTTAGTCAAGTAAATTTTTGTTTGAATAGGCCTGTGGATACAGTTCAGTTACTCAAATAATTTTTGTCTCAATAGGCATGTGGATACAGTTCAGTTAGTCAAGTAAATTTTTGTCTCAATAGGCCTGTGGATACAGTTCAGTTAGTCAAGTAAATATTTGTCTCAATATGCCTGTGGATACAGTTCAGTTAGTCAAGTAAATTTTTGTCTGAATAGGCCTGTGGATACAGTTCAGTTAGTCAAGTAAATTTTTGTCTCAATAGGCCTGTGTATACAGTTCAGTTAGTCAAGTAAATATTTGTCTCAATAGGCCTGTGTATACAGTTCAGTTAGTCAAATTAATGTTTAACGTGAATACCACATTTCATAAAATGAATGTGATAAATGGTCTAAAGTTAATCAATTGTGGCCCAACAAATGAGTAGTCTTACCTCTGCTGCGATGTTTGCTTCATTCAAATATTCTCTGGCTCTCTGGTAGAAGCCCTACATGGTGGGTAAAATATAAATTGTGACAGTTAACTAAAACTTTCATGGCAGTTATTTCTAAGAAAGATTTTTTTTAATTACTACCTGTCTGTTGAGTGAGACAGGTAAAAAAAAATTATAGTTTACTACCTGTCTTGTGAATGAGACAGGTAAAAAAAATTATAGTTTCCTACCTGTCTGATGAGTATGTCTGCTGTATCTTTCCATATGTCCTGTAATGAAACGTCTCCAAGAACTTTTCCCAAGTGTGACTCAGCTGATCCATCTCCCTGCTAATAAAAGAACAAAGCTACAGCTAATAATGACACAAAGCTACAGCTAATAATGACACAAAGCTACAGCTAATAATGACACAAAGCTACAGCTAATAATGACACAAAGCTACTGCTAATAATGACACAAAGCTACAGCTGATAAAGACACAAAGCTACAGCTAAAAATGACACAAAGCTACTGCTAATAATGACACAAAGCTACAGCTAATAATGACACAAAGCTACTGCTAATAATGACACAAAGCTACAGCTAATAATGACACAAAGCTACAGCTAATAATGACACAAAGCTACAGCTAATAATGACACAAAGTTACAGCTAAGATTTTCTCAAACTTTAAAACAACAAATGTATTTTATAAAAGTTTGTTCATACTTTAAAAAAAATAGATTTTCCACCCCAATGTTTTTCAACTATGTATCAGACAGCTGTTTAGGCTGTGACGATCAAGTAAAAAAAAGTTTTAAGAAAGTTTTGAATACTGCGCCACCCAGCACAAAACTACTCACAGCAACAATATCTGGAGTGATGGGTTTTGACTTTGGAATTTTTGAGTATCTTTTTTCCAGGGCCTCTTTTATCTTCTGCTCTTCTTTAGCCACCTGTTTTTGGACATCTTGCCATTGGCTGATCTGGTTCCTGGACCTGAGAACATCATGTTTTAAATGTGTTCCATTTATTATCTTTACATAGTTTTTATAAATATTTCTTTCTTTAAACTTATAATGTTCAAAAATTGTTTATTGCTTCATTTAAAAACTGGAGAATAGAGGCACATAGACCTTAATGATGTATATAAAGTAAAACAAAATGTTTAAAATTAAAATGGGATTGAAGATACTGCTCAACTGATGCTGAATATAAAATAGTTTCAGATCAAAATGAAAGTGAAGACAGTGACTCACAAAGCCTGATCCTCCTCACTGATGTGAAGATTTCCCACAAGTTTCAGGTTGAAACTGACACCAGCTTTCAGATCTAACTCCTGACAAATTTCCAGTGACCTACACACAAAAATATAATTTGTAATATTTAGAGCTATTGCATTTATTTCACATTGTAATGTGTACTGTATTTGTTTGCTTTTCTGTTGAAATTCTGAAAATAAACTCATTGCTGGTTGATGTTTTTCTTTCTTTCACTTTTGAACCCCACTTTTCTATATTCTAGGCCTACTGTCTATGTAACCACATGACCCCTTCATATGCCAAGGTCACAGAAACAGGTAAACTCATTGAATTTAAATGCCCCATGGACAGTCAGGTTTGAAAAGGGAACTTTACTTCTACTGCACATGGACAGTCAGGTTTGAAAAGGGAACTTTACTTCTACTGCACATGGACAGTCAGGTTTGAAAAGGGAACTTTACTTTTACTGCACATGGACAGTCAGGTTTGAAAAGGGAACTTTAACTTTACTGCACATGGACAGTCAGGTTTGAAAAGGGAACTTTACTTTTACTGCAAATGGACAGTCAGGTTTGAAAAGGGAACTTTACTTTTACTGCACATGGATAGTCAGGTTGGAAAAGGGAACTTTACTTTTACTGCACATGGACAGTCAGGTTTGAAAAGTGAACTTTACTTTAACTGCACATCGGCTGTCAGGTTTGAAAAGGGAACTTTACTTTTACTGCACATGGACAGTCAGGTTTGAAAAGGGAACTTTACTTTTACTGCATATGGATAGTCAGGTTTGAAAAGGTAACTTTACCTTTACTGCAAGTTGTAATATTTGAAAGAGCTAAGACAAGATTCCAGACTAGTTTACCTAAGATGAACCAGTTTGTTGAGAGCAGCTTTAGGTATGAGTGTCCTGGTGAGAAGGTCCTGGAAGGCCAGGACAGGTAAGGCCAGGTGGTTGTAACCAACCTCTCTCAGCTGGTTTATCAGGCTCTCTGTGTAGTGGAAGGTCAAGGCCTAGGGGAGAAAAGTAAAACATTCAAGTGGATTAGATTCAAATATGTGCCCAGCATGGGGGAGAAAAGTAAAACATTCAAGTGGATTAGATTCAAATATGTGCCCAGCATGGGGGAGAAAAGTAAAACATTAAAGTGGATTAGATTCAAATATGTGCCCAACATGGGGGAGAAAAGTAAAACATTAAAGTGGATTAGATTCAAATATGTGCCCAACATGGGGGAGAAAAGTAAAACATTCAAGTGGATTAGATTCAAATATATGCCCAATCATTAAGTCGTATGGCCCTTAATGAATAATTTTGAGGATTTTTTTCTAACATGTAGTATTATCAATAAAACTCCTTTTTTCATATTTAAATGAATTTGATGTCCAAAATTGAAAAAAAAAAAATTTGTAAATAATATTGTTTAAAATACATTGAAATCCTCTCATAACAGGTCAGCTTTGTTAGTGTTTTTTTGATATATTTTGTTCATAAATGGGCACAATAGTAGATCAACGAACACAGTTTGAAATACATAAAATGGACATATGGGTTTTGGTATAGTTTGTTCACTAATGGACACAACATTAGATCTATGGCTAGAAATTACTGACCAAAGTTTGAAACAAATAAAATGGACGTACAGGTTTTGGTATAGTTTGTTCACTAATGGACACAGATTTGAGAGAATCCAACTTGAAAACCTCCAGTCCCTCCTCTGGCCAGTCGTATGTGGACCAGGATTCCATATCAGAGGGGAGCTCATCCAATGGTATCTTCCTCTTTCGTTTGGGCTGAAAAAATTTTGGTAGATTTTCTTACATTTAAACTGACTGAAACCTCATGTGGGCAGTTATTGGTAGTCACAAATATAAAACATCATAAGGTTATGATCATAAATATATTAAATCACAATTATTTTATATCATAAATGTATGACAAATATTTACATCATAAATATGTATTTTAACAATATTTTAAATAAAAATTAATGCATAACACAAATAAAAACAAATTCTTACTTTTTCCTTCTCTGGTTTAGGCTTAGTTTCTTTTTCTTTCTTATTTGCCGATTTAGGATCGTCTTTTTGCTTGGCTGCGCTATTCTTAATAATTTCTTTTATACTTGGCCCACAAAGACGAATAACAACCTAAAAATAGAATTAAATGACTCATTCTGTATGAGTTTATATTCTTTTATTATTTTTGCACAATTATGCTATCTGGGTTTTGTATCTTGTAATTGAAAAAATATAACATCCAGAAAAGATCAATTTTTTTTTAAAATATCGAAAAAGATAATGTTCAAATGGAAGAGTTAACTTATCAATAAAACTGGAAGTAAATAGAGAAAGCCGAAATAAGTTTTAAAGAGCAGAACAGAATATGTAAGCTTTATGTTAAAGAATTGATGATAAAAATCAATATTTTAAAAAAATTTAAAGCTATCAGAGACTGCTTGGACTGCTCTCTAGTGGACAGCACAGGGCAAGAGAAATGAAGGGAGGCCACAATGAGAAGATCAATGGAGATAGAGTTGAAGGAAAGAGACCTAACATTCCAAAAGGCCGAGGTTATAGTTACAGCCAGGACAAAATTGTGCACACTTGTTGATGCCTTGTGTGCCAATGGGAGTTGAGAAATGATGATGATAAGAGACAGAGAAGGGACTCCATAGGTTTCAAGCAATGGTATTGTTAAGTGCTAAGTCTATAATCACAATCCATCATAGGTTTCACTGGTGTAGTATTTATACACAATAATTCACCAAATACTAAAAAAACAATTTAGAGTTACCTCCCATAATCTCATCAAGAAGCCGTGTGCCATAAGCAAAACATCATTGTAGTTTTCAGAAGATGGGCCAAGCATTTCTGCATGCAACACATGAGCTCTCATCAGGGCTTCCAGTTGTCTGACCAAACCCAAGTCTTTAAGTGTAAGTTCATTGTAAGAAGGTAACACGCCTGTTCCAGGATCATTGCAAGATGTTTTAACAGCACAATAAGAGAAAACAAAAAATAGGAAATAATTTTTCAGTATATAGATCTAATAGGCTAATCTATAGTCAAATTTAATATCTTGCAGTATTAAACTTCTCCTTAACAATGTTGAGAAAATTTGTAAACAAACCGATTTCAGATGATTTTTTAACCACTGGCACAAAAGTAATGGCTGATTTTGTTGGCAGCTCTTTATTGGGGGTCTGAGCTTTAGAGGATGAAGTAAATGGACTTATAGAATCTTTCTTCAGCTTGGAGGCTGAAATACTGTTTTGCCTCTTGAGAGATTCCTTGCGCAGCAACCCCTTGCTAGCAGAAGGGCTCCTATCTGTGAAAATGTCATGTTCTCAATAACTACAAAATAAATGGAGCAATCTTAGTCTAATTTAAATACTCTTTAAAAAATGCTTTGGCCTTACAATGTTTAAACAATTTGTTGGGTGTATTTCCAGTATTTAAATGTATCATCTTTTGTAAGGCCTACAATTGTAAACCATGACATCCGACTAACTAATGTCAAGTTACCAGCTTTTAACATGTTTCCTTGGCATTTACTAACAAACTCTTTACCAGTACTATTCCTACTTTAACTAGATATTGAACAATTGTAATGAGAAACCAGTATTGTAAACTTTAAAAATCCTTGGATTATTCATATTATTGGCACAACTACTGAAAGGTAGAGGTACTACATTTTTAAGTTGATTTACTGTGGTAACTACTGTCTTGACTCTTGTCCCATAGATGTTAGTTTTTGTGCTGAGTTTATATGCCACATATAAAGTCTTCACAGAGTGTTATAAAATAGTTTGGCTTATTTACCAAAGTTACAAATAAATCTGGAAATGAAAGCTACCTAAGATAATGGAAATAGATGAATGATACATTTTATAACAGCATAAAAGCTAAGCCTAGTAAATATGATATCAGAATCATATGTAAAGACAAGTACAGAAGTCGTGAAAAAATAAAAGGAACTTTAGACATAACATGTTGCAAACAGTTCCCTGTGTTGAATATCACATAACTAGTTGGGGGGGGGGGGGGGGACCATTTTTAAAATACTATTTAAGGTATTACTTTGTAGAATAGATAAAAATTTAAAACTAAAAGTTCAAACTTGATAAAATTGACATAGTTTTAAAATTAAACAATTAGCACATAAAAGTGATTAACATTTAAAAAATTTAAACTGAAAATGATTTTAAATTGAAATTTTAAACTTGTTAACTTGAAAACTGCTACAAATTGTAATTATGAAAAAGGTTATAAATAGAAAGTACAAAAATGATAAGGTTTACAAACAGAAGGCTTAAACTTGTAAACACGAAAAAGATTGTAAATAGATGTTTTACCCCTAGACATACTGGCTCGACTTTCAGAAAGTGTACGTTTCCTGATAACTAGCAAATCAATGAAAAGTATTTTAAAACAGATGGATTTAGTGTTAGTTAAACACAAAGCAAAGCAAATAAAAGCTTATTTTATTATACTTAAGGAAAATTAGGAGTGTAACTTTATAAATGTAACTTTTATAAAAACTAAATAGAGTACATATTTACTCTTTTTAAATGTAATACTTATTACCAATTTTAGTGAAAATTTGCAGTTAGTTTTATTTTTGGTCAACAGCCTACAAGTTCAAAATGGTCTCGCTTCTGTTTAACAATTTTAAAACAAAGTTCATGACACTTCTGTGATATTCTCCAATTTAAAAAAATACAGATGGGTTTAAACACTTAAGATAGCAGGTATTTGTTATTTAAACTCATTTTTTTTATAGCAGCTTGTAAAATTTTGTTTTTTTACAATAATATACTTTGAATTAATAATAAATTAAAAAAAACTCCAGCTTTATGTGTATTTGAAAGTTGACAATGCTGATAAGTATATGAATAATTATGCTAACAGTTAATTATCAAATAATGATTCTATATTAGACTCCAAGCTAACTGAGAAACAAACACTTATAAATTTGTTTGGTTGGTAGTTAAACTATCAAGCCTGTATCTACTTATTTTAACAGATTCCTTAGTTTAAGTTAAGCTTGCAGGGTTATTGTTAAACACAAACTAATTCTACTGGAGTAGCAAGCTTTAGATAAAAGATCTTATCCAATTTATTTTGAGTTTAAAGCTGATTTATTTCACTTATTTTAGAATCTGTATAAATCAAACAAAATGATGCACTATTTTATAGCTATTGATTTAATTCAATGCATACACTACTAAATTAATTTCAAAACCAAATGTAAGAAGGATCAAATGGACTTCAGTTTCTGTTGTAACAAACTTAATATATTAAAAATATCGTGCCTGGATACATTGCCAGTAAATACTGGGGGAAATGTTGCTAGAGCTAAACCTTGTACACACAAAACGCATATTGTGGGGGGGAGATATTAGTAACAAACTTGATACACAGCAAGTAAACATTAGAAGAATAATGTTATAAGCACAAGCTTAGATGCACAACAATTATATAATGGGACAATATTATAGTTTGTTGTTAACAATTTAGTTAATACCATTACAATTCACACATTTAGTTAGGGTTACATGCACACAATGTATTATTTCATATTTGACTTTTACCTTTGCCTCTCTTTTTATCTGCCTGATGGGCTATGAAATCCAAACCAAATGGCACAAAAATAGTTAAAACAGTAACACATTAAAGCAGTGAAAAGTAATGAAAATTAATAGGCCACTCAAAAAACTCCATAACTTTTTGACAAGCTAGCCATGAATTCTCAAACGGAAACATATCTGAAAATTTACCTGGTACTTCTGGGGCTATTATTGTTATCTCTTCCTTTTCTAAATAGCATCAAGTTAAGTTTTCATGTTTAACATTTGTTCTCAAGATAAAAATTTTGTCATATAGAATTTATTAAAAGAAAAATAACAGATAAAGGCAGCATAAGCCTACTTATTGGATTTATTTAATTGTAAAATGCAGTTTAGATGTAGCCTATCCTACTAAATCATAATTGTATTAGTAAATGAATGAACTTACTTATACTAATTTAAGTGTGGCTTTACTTTTCTATCCAATTAAGAATTTTAATACTATATATGGTAATCTAATTATTTTCTATACTAATTAAGAATGGTAAGCTGCATTATTTTAATGTATAATTATTTGTCATGAAAACAATTATAATATGCTAATTGAGGGTCTGACCAGGCCTGCACTAATGATTTACCAACTGTCATAAGGAGCTTTACAGAAGTTTCTTTATAAAATTTGCAATGAAAGAATAAAATCTTTTTTACCTTTAGGATCCTCTGGTGCTTTCATGTTCAGTAAAATATCTACTGCCCATTCCAATATCTCTTCAGCATCATTAATAGAAAAGTGGTTGCAGTAGAGCCATTGGCTGAACTCAAGGAGAAGCTCAATCTTTTGGTACTCACTTGATTCAAACTAGAGGTCAAAGTTCAACATTTTACTTAATATTGGCTTTCATTTCTTCTCTAAATAATAAAACTTTTGTTATCAAGATTATATAAATCATTTAAAAGCTTTTAAATGTAAGCATTTATTAAATGAATCAAAGGCATGATTAAAAGGTATGCATTTATAAAATAACATATTTACTAATTAAAGAAAAAAAAAATGTTTTCATATACTGTATTCTTTATTTAAAATGCCTTCTTCATCTTCTGCATTCTTAATTGTAAAGTTGGACAGTATTTCCTCCAACACAATTAAGTAATTAGTGTCAATTGGTTATGTGCTATATGGCCAGTTGACTCTGATTTTCTTTTTGAATTTTATTAGCTGTTTTATTCCTTGCATTTACATCAGAATGAAACTTTGAACCAAAAACAGAGAGTTCTCTGTATAAAGAGAATCCAGTGTTTCTAATATTAACATACCTTCAACACTTCAATAGCCTTTTGGTAGGCAGAAAGCTGCTCTGAAGTTTTCTTAGAATTTAAGGCTATCTTTCTCCACATACTGGAGACAAATTCCTCTGGCTCATCCTTTTAAAATCAACATTTGATACCAATGAAGTTTAATGTTACATTTTTTTAAAGATTTTTTTATAACATTTGTAATGCAGAAAGTATCAAAAATATTTTTAATATTTTTAAATTTAAGATGTTTTAAAAGTGTTAAGTATTTATAGAAGCAAAGTGTATGAAAAAAATAAAAATAGGTAAAGACTTCTGCTTAATAATTTAAACCACGGTGTATATGCTAATTCAAATTATTAAAATTAACTTGAATTCAAGAGAGGTAATGTTCATATCAAGAGACTAAGATATACCTTGAATTTCTGCATATCCATTGTGACATTTTGGCCCAGCTTAGCCTTAACCATGACTCTGTGTTTAAATAACAACCTATACAAAAAAGCATGTGTCAGCATATTAAGTATATTACATTAATAATGTAGAAATGTCATATCCAGAAAATGACAATGTTTAAAATTTCTGAAGCTAAAATTTTAAGGACTTTTTTCCTTTACTGTATAATTTATCAAGTGGATCCTGTCTAGTTATGATGTTCTTAAAAATTACCATTATATATAAGTTTATCTATTTATGCAATTTAAATAAAGTTTTATACCTAATATTTCTATTTCAGTCATATATTATCATTTATAATAATATAAAGAATCATGCACCATTCTATTTAAAGAGAAAAATTTTACTAAGCTTTTTTAGTGCATTTATTAATACCTGATAAAAATTTTATATTTTTTTTATATTTCAAATATATTAATACTAAATCCTGAGATACATTAAATAAATGTTATTAACTTTCAGACGTGTCATACTTACAATCTGTGTTTGGTGCGAGGCATGCAAGCAACTGCCTGGTCTATTGCTTCTATAGCCTGAACCCATTCACCCTGGAATCAAATCAAATTTTATTCCTTCAATAAAATCAAAACCCATTTACCCTGGAATCAAATCAAATTTTATTCTTCAATAAAATCAAAACCCATTTACCCTGGAATCAAATCAAATTTTATTCTTCAATAAAATCAAAACCCATTTACCCTGGAATCAAATCAAATTTTTTTCTTCAATAAAATCAAAACCCATTTACCCTGGAATCAAATCAAATTTTATTCTTCAATAAAATCAAAACCCATTTATCATTAAAAAAAAATATCACTACATGTCAGAACCTCCCAGAGTCCACCCAGCTCTAAAGAGTACCTAAATCACATTAGGGAAAGTATAGGACTAACTAAATTATCACTATATATGCCAAGGTTACAGAAACAGATGAACTATACTTCACTTGCCCCATGGAACACCAGCTTTGAAAGGGAACATGTCAAATATATCCAACATAGATTCATTGATTTAAAAAGCATAAGTGTTTATGCAGGATGACAGAAGAAAGATGGATTAAATTTGGGGACAGTTGGAGAAATTAGGTTAGGTTAGGTTTGTCTGTTGTCCCTCCTGGGATATAGGTCGCTGACAAGAGCTTTCCAGGCATCTCTGTCCTGGGCTAGTCTCTCCAACTGTCCCTAGGTGTATCCAATCTTCTTGGTGTCTTCTTCCAGGTCACGTCTGCAGGTCTTTCTTGTAGAAATTAGCTCAGGACAAATTTGCTTTTAAGTCTCTTATCTGTATACTGTGTGTTAGTGGGATGGGAGACTAGCTACAACTTACTTTATCAGCAAAGGACTGGAACAGCACACCATACATGGCCGCTCGCAAAGAGAGATCATCGACAGGCTTCTCTGGTTCAGATTTTTTTTCCTCCACCTCCTTTTGTACTTTCTCAGTTTCCTTGGATCCCCTCTTCTTCCCAGTTCCCTCCCCTGGTTCTTTCTTCTCTGGTGCAGGCGTGTCTTTACTGTCTCCGATGGTCTCATTTTTGTTATCAGCCTCTTGGTTTTCATCTTTATCTTCCTCTGTTGAGCTCTCCTGTTGGGTTCAATTTTAGAAACATCTTAATAAACATCGTAAATGAATTCACAACTTTTTATTTTGGAAAAGAAAGCAGTCTTTATTTGATTTAAATTATTAACACTAATAGTTCTACAAACCAACTAAGCATTTCCTTAAAACCAATACAAAATTCCCCACATTGGTTGAAAACAGTAAATAGAAAATAAACAAGACAAAGGGCAAAATAATCTAAAAAGTCATTTGAGCATTGTTTAAAATTGCAACAAAATAACAATTTTCATTACAACAAAATTAAAAAAACAACTAAGTAAAAAATATATTGTTAGTTATTTAGTATTCTGCTGTAAATTACCATTTTAATTTTCTTATCACTTGTAGCAGCAATAGCCTCTAGAATAGTTTTCAGTGGCTCCTTCAAAAGCTGTCTTTCAATTGGTTGACCAATCAGGGGCAAGCATGCATTCCAAAAATGTCTGGCAGCTGTCATCACAAGAGTGTGGTTACCTGCTTGCTGCGCATATCTACAACAATCAAACAATCATTTATATAGAGGATAGATGTCTGGGTGAACTAGAATATACATGGCATGTTATTGGTCCAAAAGGAAAACTGGTTCAAATGATTCTTTAAAAGACAATGCAAAGACAGATAATAATAGGAAAATAAATGATGACACAAATGGCTGAAGGGCTATAGTGTGAGAAAAAAGTTACTTTTAAATGTTCAGTGACACATATGCCTAGATACACATAAATGTTGTAACCAAACTAACAAGAAACAAAAATTTACATTAAAACAAAAGAAGTTTCAAATGTACACTTCAGCTATTAATTTTCTAAATAAATGATTCTTTAAAGCATTTTTGAGTCAGACACTGGCCCCAGCCCACCCCACTCAGGGAAAAATTATATGGGGCACCTGACATACTGGAGACCACAGTCCGGTTTGTCCACGAAGTTGGACTTGTTGTCTGAATACCCCACCATATTCACAATTGAGAACGAAGAAGAAGAAGAAGAAAAGCATTTTTAACTTGAGAGTGCTGAACTATGCTTTTATCATGCAGTCTTCTATAGCATAGTGCCATTTGTTCAATATTTGATCCATTTCCTCTGTTCCTCAAAGTTTTATCATTTATCATATTGCTAGAGAGTCAGTGCATACATTATTTTACCAAAAAAACTTTTAATGTGTCGAGTCCAAAAATGGACATTTAAAATAAAATTTTATTTCTAAATTTATTACTTTCTACTTGTTTTTTAATACTTTTATTGTCAATTAAAACAAATAACTTCAACATGTGTGTGAGTGCATTAGTCTGTAGTAACATTTTAATTTTTCAGCAAAAAAAGTTACAATAAAGAGCATATAAAGATTCAAACATTTTCAATCTAACTGGCATTTAACTGGCATCTAACAGTATTAATTTTCTTTCATAGGTAAACAGGTAAAGTTTGGACAAAGGCACAAATATACTACTTTTAATATACTTAAATGTTCTAAAATTTAATTTACATCTTTCCTAAATAACTATATCATTATTAGGAATAAGATTTATTATATATTGGTTTTTAATAAAGGGGAAGTTTTTTTTTGCACAGTGGGTGCTAAAAGAAATTGGGAAGTGAAGGGGTAAAAGATCATTTCTGGCAAACCATGGTAAATAAAACAGAGTTGATGTACCTGGCACTCCTGACAAATTCTGTGATTGCCTCCCTTCTCACAGAGTTCTTTCCCTTCATATTCTCCATCAGACATTGCCCCAGAACAAGATTACAGTAACACAGCATTTCTTGCTCCACTATTTGTTGGTGCCTGCAGAAGTATTCATTCAAGCTTCAAACATGTTGTTATAACTGTAAAATTATTCAAATAAAATCTAACTAAAGGCTTAAAGACATTTCATAAAGATGAATTTAATGTGTAGAAATGGAGTTAAGTGTTGGAATTTTATACATACTAAGATGCAGTCAATACATACTTGTCTGACTTTTTGATACGGCCAGCACACTTTTTGGCCCTCTTAGTGCAAGCTGCGACCTGATTCAGATTTCCAGCTTCAAAGGCTAGGTAGTTGAGGCGAGTCCAGAGCTGGAGCTCTACAAACTTCTCACTCCATTTGATGGCAGTCATCATATGCATGACCTGTTCCATTACATGACAATAACAAGTAACAGGGGACTTTGGTACAAATATTTTTACAGTAAATATTTACCTAAATTTTCATTCTAATCAAATCAGTGAGGGGAGATAATTTTTCTTCATTATTAATTTATATTTGGCAATGTTTGAATAAATTGTTCTAGACATTTTGAATTAGCTAACTAGAAATTCATGTAGACAAGATGAAAGGGTTGTTTTAAAGTAGTTATTCACTTTAACTCACATCTTCAATGCTTGGAACATCTTTAAACTCCATCAATCCATTCCTGTTCAGGGACAGCATCTCTAGGGCTGTGACCACCCTGGACATGAGAGCCTGGTTTTCTTTTTTGTTCTATAGAAAGGTTTGAGATTTTAGAGAATTCTTTTAGAGAATTCATTAGGACAAACTTAAATAAAATGAAAAAAAATGTCATCAAAAACGTTTTAATAACAAGCTTTTATGTAATAATGCACTAAAAAGTAGAAAATAAATTATAGACTACTATTTAAATAACTATAAAGAAAAGCATGGGTGTCTTCCTTAACATTAGTAAAGGTATCCAATAGATACTTAAGTGACCCACGCTTTTCTTTATAGTTATTTAAATAGTAGTCTATAATTTATTTTCTACTTTTTAGTGCATTATTACATAAAAGCTTGTTATTAAAACATTTTTATGAAATTTTTTTTCAGTATTTTACATGTTTTATTTACAATAGAGTTACATGACTAAAAACCATTGTGCGCCTACTGAACGTGATGGCGCGCCTACTGAAGGTGATGGCGCAGCTATTGAACGTGATGACGCGTGTGGTGTGGTTGGATAGACATGCCTATTGATTCGGTCCAAATTTTAATTAATTCATAAAAATTAATTAGGCATCCAATTAAGTCAAATTTAATTTCAGATTGCATTGTCTTCATGTCTTGACCCACGTGCTAAATGTGAATCGTATCGGTCAAGTAGAAGTGTCCGAATTTTCACTCCAGCATTTCGTTCTAGACAGACAGACTGACGACAGAGGAAGCGAGTTAAATAAAAGCTTGTAAAAAAGATTTCTTATTAACAAGGTTATAAAATATTTCTACCTATACATGGACATAAAACATCAAAACTAAAGTGTTTTAGTTAAGTAGTCAAATCTTAATGAACAATCTATACGTTAAAAAAATTAAAGAAAAATTGAATTTTTTAAAATAATTTTCGTTTTATTTTTACAAATATGTAAATAAGCTCCCAACCACATGACTAATCAATTGAAGTGTGAGGAGTTAACACAACCTAAATGTGTACACATACAAATGTCAGAGTTATCTCTACCTTATTCACTATACCAACATAGTTATTAGAAAAGGGAGTTAATATTAAATCAGAATGTTGATCCATAGAAATGTTAGAGTTATCCCTACCTCGTCCTCTGTGGTGACAGGCTTAGGGATCTGCTGCTGTGCTAGCTGCTTAGCTTTCACCCATAGCTGCAGAACTGGCATTCTGGTATACATAGGGACTACAGTTTTGGGGTCAGCTCCATTGGTCAGTCCAATGGCAAAATCACAGATCTAAGACAGACAAAATAACAGATCTAAGACAGACAAAATCACAGATGTAAGACAGAACACAATCACAGATCTAAGACAGACAAAATCACAGATCTAAGACAGACAAAATCACAGATCTAAGACAGACAAAATCACAGATCTAAGACAGAACAAAATCACAGATCTAAGACAGAACAAAATCACAGATCTAAGACAGACAAAATCACAGATCTAAGACAGACAAAATCACAGATCTAAGACAGAACAAAACCACAGATCTAAGACAGACAAAATCACAGATCCTAAGACTGAACAAAATCACAGATCCTAAGACAGAACAAAATCACAGATCTAAGACAGAACTCAATCACAGATCTAAGACAGACAAAATCACCTTATTTTCATTTGCGACATGTATGCTTAAAACTAATTTGTTGCGAGTTTTCTTTTTCTAGACATAAATATTATACCTTTCCCATGTGTAAACACAATGTTATTTTTTTTAGGGAGTTTAGCAGTAGCTTAAAAATTTTAAAATAATAACAACATATCCTATATATACAATACATAAGCATAAACATAAACATAAACAACAACCAAAACCTTTGATATAAGGACAGCCAGATCAAACAGAGCAAAAAAAAGTAAAAATATAAATGTTAAACCAAAACTTACTTCAATGGCTTTTTTTAAGTCTGGCATTGACTCTGGATTGACAGTAGTGAGTGGTTTTTGAGCTTTTGAGGACTGTGGGATGGCAGACGTTTTGCCTGGCTTTCCTTTAGTGTTCTGGCCATCTGGTGGTTCAAGCTTGAGTTCAGGTTTCTCTAGGTCTTTAGAGGTCTTTGGCAACCAGGGTTTGATGAGGCCAGTGCTTATAGCAGCACAGATGTTCACTATCAGTTCTGTATCACTGATTCAAGAAATTAAAAAATGGTAAATTTAATCAGTATTAATAATAAAATGCATTTTTCATCTTAAGATAAATTACATTTTTTAGTATATAAAATAATAAATTATGTTCAATTATTAGAACATAAAATGAAATTGACAGCACAGGAAATTCTAAAATTAATGCAAAAAAAAAACATTTTTTTGACTCCATAATTATCCAAGACAAGAAAGAAAATTTTTTCATATACTGTACTCTTTATTTAAAATGCATTCATCATCTTCTGCATTCTTAATTGTAAAGTTGGACAGTATTTCCTCCAACACAATTAAGTATTAAGTGTCAATTGGTTATGTGCTATATGGCTAGTTGACTCTGATTTTTGCTGCTTTTCTTTTTGAATTTGCTTCCATAACCTTTGTCCATCCAAGGAACAAACTACAAGGCAGCAGTTGTTTCATTTTGGAGTTGTCTCTCCTAGATGAGTTGCTGTCCTTTTCCCCAAACAACTCCAAACTTACTTAAAAGCAATAACTCACCATTTTTCTTTAACCTTTTTTAAAGCATCCAGCACAGCGAGTAAATCAGGGATGATTTCTTCATGCCGTCCTTGTTTTAAGATGTGTGTATTATAGTTCCAGATATAGGCAGCACCACTACAGACTAGCCAGGATTCGTTCAGCACAACTCCAAGGCTCAAGCCTCTGAGGAAGCTTTTGGTTGCCAGATTGTTCATATCTTTCATCCAACCACTAAAACAACAAAATCATTTGATGAATATTAACTTACAGATACATATTCAAACTAATAATTGATATTTATTTAAAAATAAAAGTGACCAGTATTCTAGCCAATCAGGGTCCTCCTCTGGTTTCTTTGGAATGTATCCTTTAGGTCTTTTACTGGTATCCTCCGGATAAACTGGAGAGTCATTTAACTCAAGGTTGAATGACCTCAGGAGCTGCACCAATGCCTGAAATTGACCAAAAAGAATTTAAAAAGTGTAAAAGTAATGTGTGGGAAATAAATAGACTATCATAGAACTGATATTAATATTTAACACAAGAACAAGTAAACAGCTTTTTAAAGTGACTGTGCTTTAACAAAGTACTAAAAATAAATTATTATTTCATAGCCTACATTTTTCTTTTTAAAATTTCAAAATATAAATAATTAATTTTTAATTTTACATAAAAGGGGGAAAGGTTTCTACAAATCACAATATTTGAAAACCAATATTTTTCAGTAATGTATAAGTACCTCTCCATGTATAAAAGAAACTTCTGCCATCAATCGAATTTGATCTTTGACGTTATTTGGGAAATACTGTGGTGTAGCTGAGCGACTGAATGATCGAAGCCTTTTCTCCGGATCTGGTTCTTCCCCTTTGCTGCTTTCACTTTTATATACACTGGGGCTTCAATCAAAGTGATCACAAGGTTAACGAAAAATCATGATTTTTTAATTTTAGTACATTTTTATAAAGAAGTAAAAATGCATGAAATTTGGCTAATCTTGATGTAAATTCTATTCGCTAAACTCTCATAAAATCATAAAAACTAGTGTGTAGGCCTACCTTAAAATCATCAAAACCAGTGTGTAGGCCTACCTTAAAATCATCAAAACTAGTGTGTAGGCCTACCTTAAAATCATTAAAACTAGTGTGTAGGCCTAACTTAAAATCATCAAAACTAGTGTGTAAGCTACCTTAAAATCATCAAAACAAGTGTGTAGGCCTACCTTAAAATCATCAAAACTAGTGTGTAGGCCTAACTTAAAATTATCAAAACTAGTGTGTAGGCCTAACTTAAAATTATCAAAACTAGTGTGTAGGCCTAACTTAAAATCATCAAAACTAGTGTGTAGGCCTAACTTAAAATTATCAAAACTAGTGTGTAGGCCTAACTTAAAATCATCAAAACTAGTGTGTAGGCCTACCTTAAAACCATCAAAACTAGTGTGTAGGCCTAACTTAAAACCATCAAAACTAGTGTGTAGGCCTACCTTTCCATTCTTTTAGTTGTAGCAGGTGGCTGCACAATTTGCCATTTAGGATCATCATATAACAGGCAATATTTACATGCCACTCTGCACACATCCCATACTTCCTGTTTGCGTGCCAGTTTGGCTAAATCTCCCCAAAGTCTGGCTCTGGAGTTCATAAAAAAGTACATTTAACATTGACATTTATACCAGATTTGGGAATATATTTTGCTTATAAAGAGAAATGCATAGAAATTCATATAATGAAATTATATAAATTAAAAAATTTTAAATAAAATTTCAGAAAGTTCTTGAAACTTTCAAAGATAGCAGAAGTACCTTTCCTTTTCATTTTTGTCTCCTACTCTCTTCAAGTGCCCCTCAGTTTTGTTGATGTAAGTATAGTACTGTTTGGCTTTGCCAGCAAGTAAACCAATCTGGTTGAGTCCAGTTTTCAAGGTGCTCAGCTCTACAAAGTCAAACATGACAAAATCAAATTCTGAGTGACGTGGGATACCTGCATGCTTCACTTTTCTCCCTTTAACTAAAAATAGGATTACTGTTGACTATGTTAAAACTATTTAGAACTAGGATCATCAGCTTTACAAAAATCTATAATTAAAATCTAAAGTACTGATTATACTATACTGGTAAAATAAAATATTAATCAAATTAATACATTAAATACATATTATTTGAAATCTAAATATATTAAAATTTTAGTTAATAACATAATTACTTGTAAAATAAATATTTTAAATGATAGACTGGAAAAGAAGGAAAAAACATACTTAAGCTAAAAAAAGATGTTCAAAAAGTGCAGTAATATCTATTAAAAGAGAGTTGTGCCGCTCATGGATCTATCATTTTGATCTTATAAGCCAACTAAATAGCCTAGTAAAGCTGCCTTTTTCTCTTGACTAAAAAATGTAAGATAACCCTAAGTATTTCATTACAAAATGTAATTCATCATAAAAAGTTATCATCAAGTGTTACATTAAAATTATAATGCTCAGTTAAACTAATTATGTTATATTTAATCTGAGATATGAAAATAGGTGCTAAGATTAAGAACAATTTTAGTGATTTGTTAGTGTGAAAAATAAATATAAAGATCTGTATAATAAAATAGCATGCATATATTACAGAGAATGAAAACAGACTAGTGAAGTTTTAAAAAATGCATAGTGACAATAAATCAGCTAATATCACTTACATAACAGGTGTAATAAATGGATGATATATAATCCATGCATTAAATACCAGGGATTTTTAAAGAAAGTAACCTAATTCTGAAGGGACCATTGTACTACATGTTACACAGATTCTACAGGCTTAAAAAGATAAGAAAGATTCTCAAAACATATGACAAGGATTACGTCTCCAAACCATTCAAATCCCATGTAGTACAAAAGTCCATACAAATATGTTAAGGTTACTTCTTAACTTTTTTGTGATACACCATCTAGAAAATATTAACTGTGCAAATACCTTCTTCCATTGCCTCTTTAGCTGCATAGGTAGTGAAAATCATAAATATTTGCTTTTTTTAAATTTGATAACAAATAATTATATCCAATCCAACACTGTTTTGCTGTGTCTAAGATTGTTTCTTATTATATTAGTTTGTCCTATGTATATAAATATTGTATTTTGACTTCTAAAAAACAGTTGTATGTAATTGTTACTTAAAATATACTATAAATTTACTACTATTATAATATAAGTTCTTGAAATATTGGCATGATGTGTATTTTAATAATACTGTTATAGTAATGTGTCCTCTGTTTTATTGAGGTGTCTCAAAATAGTTTTATTGTTATGCCTTTGAATGTCTTTACTGAAGTATCTTCAAATGCATCACTGTTAAGTGTTAGGTATTCAAATATTATTCACTTCAGAAAAAATATTTTTAAATAACACAAACACATTATGTAAAATCACACTTTGCCAACTTTAAATTTTATAAGAATAAATTACCCCATATATTACCTTTTGCCTCATTTTCACTATCCAGCACATTCAGGAATGAGTCTGGTGCTAGAGCTTCCCCAGCCTTCACTAGCAATGAGCGTTTCATCCTTATAGTGCCAGAATCTGCTGACTTTGCCTGTTGTATCAAATTTCATTTTTATTTTCCTTAAAGCAAGGAGATCTTGATTCATTGTCATATACACTTATAGTTGTAGAATTTATCAATTTTATTTTATATGCTTAGTAATCAAACTATCTAACTTTTTCAATAATAAAAATGTATTTCAAATAAGTAATTATACATGCTTGTTAACAATTAAAATAATGTATATTAAAAAATTGATTCAGAAAAAAACCTCACCTGTTCAATAATCATTAGACCTGATCAACTCACCTGTTCAATAATCATTAGACCTGATCAACTCACCTGTTCAATAATCATTAGACCTGATCATCTCACCTGTTCAATGATCATTAGACCTGATCAACTCACCTGCTCAATAATAATCAGGGCCTGATCAACTCACCTGTTTAATAATCATTAGAAATTATCAACTCACCTGTTTAATAATCATTAGACCTGATCAACTCACCTGTTCAATAATCATTAGAGCCTGATCTTCTGGACTCTCAGGTGGCTTATAGAGCTGTGACCTCAGTGTCAGCCGCTTGAGGGAGATTTCCAACTTCTCTTGATAAACACCTGCATCATCCAATAACAGAGCCTGAAACAAGATGGCAGTTGTGTTACAGATATCCGAACTTTTCACACAGATATCCAAATTATTTAAACATATATTCTTACCTTGCATGCAGATATCCCAAAAAATATATAGATAATTAATTTAGATTGCCTAGCAATACACTTTATGCTGATATGCTAACTAGGTATTCATTACACTATTATATTCAAAAAACTATTTGTGCACATTTTCTAGAAATCAATTCAAATATCAAAACAGTTGATGTAGAGATTTTTTCATAATTTAGAAAATAAAAAAATCACTGAATTGTTTTTTAAATTATGGTTTTCTGCTTTGTAACTTTCAACATTTTTTTAATGTGTAAAAATGCAATTATTAAACTACCTGTGTTAAATTAATGAAATGATATTGACATTTTTTTAGACATAGATAAACAGCTTTTATAAGGAGCCTTGTGTCAGGTTTTTTTTTTGTATCAATGGTTTAAAATGTAACATAAAATTAGCTCTACTTTTTCTGTCATGTATTCATGAGGTACACCACACTTCTGTGGACCACTACAGGTGAGAATACAGGTGACCTACCTTCTTCAAGTGTTCAGTGGCTGCTTCGATTTGTTCATAGTCCTCTTCACACTTGGCCAATTCTGTGTGAACTTGACATCGCAGCTGAATTAGCAGGCTGAGGAATGTTGGATACAAGAAATAATAACGTTTTTAAAAATCGCCTCTTTATGTTTTTCTAAAGTTTCAGTCACCATAGCAACACACAAACTATAAAACCACCATTCAATGTTTTTCTAAAGTTTCAGTCACCATAGCAACACACAAACTATAAAACCACCATTCAATGTTTTTCTAAAGTTTCAGTCACCATGGCAACACACAAACTATACAGTCACCTGTCAATGTTTTCCAGTGCTCTAGCCACCATGGCAACACACAAACTATACAGTCACCTGTCAATGTTTTCCAGTGCTCTAGCCACCATAGTCAAAGGTCTCCTGACCTTGTCTCTCAGGTTGGGCTGGAGCAGAGGCAGACATAGGTTCCACTGGGTCGCACATCCCGCCTGTATCACATTAGGATCTCCAAGACGAATGGCATTCATAAGTACATCTTCACACTTTTTTATTGCTTGTATTCGTGTCTGTGAAATCAGATATTAGAAGCATGAGGTTTAAAATTCTATGTCTTCCAGGCAAGTTGATTTAATGTATGTATTTACTTTCACTATGGGACAGCAGGGTTGATAGATTGGATGACTACTAACACAAAAGTCATGAGCTCAAGTCTAACTTGAGAGAGTTAGATGTGTTGCGATCTGATGGGTACTATATTTGAGTTTGGTAAAGTAAATTTATGGGTATAGTGCTGACTGCACAATTTCTTTGTGTGCTGGGGTGAATGAAGAAGTAGAAGATTATTTCATTTTTTCCTTATTTTAAAAAAAAAATCCACGCAAAACTTAGAATGGAGCATACATCAAAAACACAGCAATTTACATCAAGTAAATAATATACACCCACACTTAAACATTCAACAGAAATAACAGAAAAATTTTCATCAACAATTAAACTAATTACACCAGCAATTAAACAACATATACCCATGACAGAACAAACTACATCAACAACTAAACTAACTACACCAGTAATTAAACAACTTATACCCATGACAGAACAAACTACATCAACAACTCAACTAACTACACCAGCAATTAAACAACTTATACCCATGACAGAACAAACTACATCAACAACTCAACTAACTACACCAGTAATTAAACAACTTATACCCATGACAGAACAAACTACATCTACAACTTAACTAACTACACCAGCAATTAAACAACTTATACCCATGACAGAACAAACTACATCAACAACTTAACTAACTACACCAGCAATTAAACAATTTATACCCATGACAGAAAAAACTACATCAACAACTAAACTAATTACACCAGCAATTAAACAACTTATACCCATGACAGAACAAACTACATCTACAACTAAACTAACTACACCAGCAATTAAACAACTTATACCCATGACAGAACAAACTACATCTACAACTCAACTAACTACACCAGCCATTAAACAACTTATACCCATGACAGAAAAAACTACATCAACAACTCAACTAACTACACCAGCAATTAAACAACTTATACCCATGACAGAAAAAACTACATCAACAACTAAACTAATTACACCAGCAATTAAACAACTTATACCCATGACAGAACAAACTACATCTACAACTAAACTAACTACACCAGCAATTAAACAACTTATACCCATGACAAAACAAACTACATCCACAAAATGAACTAACTATGCCTGCAATCAAACTACTTACACTAGTGATAGATCAAACTAAATCAACAACTGACCTAATTACACCTGCAATTGAACAACTTACACTAATGCTAGATCAAACTATATCAACAACAAAATAACCTACTTCCACAACGGATTCTAATAAAGCTTCATGTTTGTCACCCAGAGATTTAACCATCAGCTGGCACTCTAAAAATTCATGAGCCAGTTGGAAGCCTGCATCCTAGGAACAAAGAAAAAAAATATTTTAAATGTAAGTATCCTGTCAACTGAGAAGGCTTTTTTTTTCATTAAAATATCCTGAGAACAGAGATATTTTTTTAAAATTAAAATACAGACGAAAACTTATTTAATTAAAAGCAATAACTTTGTATGAATGTGATACAATTTTAGCCAACAATAATTACCATGGGAGAGAAATTTTTCATTTTGAGCAGACATTCGGCAGCCAGGTCAGGAAAGTTTTGTTCCAGACACAGATGAGACATCTCCATCAGCAAATTACACCTGGCAACAAGGAAACAAAACCTTCATTGGAATTAATTAATAAATGAATAAAGCCTAATGAATGCCTAAAGATTTTTTAACAGAGTCAGATAAAAGTGTACCTATAATATATTAGCTTTCAATTCTTTTAACCAGCCTTGAGGAAAATATTTGGACATTTTTTTTTTAAAAGTAGCATAAATTTATAGTGAATATGCCACATATTTTATTATTTTAATGTTATGTGTAGCTTCTAAAATATGAGGGGATCATACATGAGTAACATATGTATAAAAAGTAAAGCTTCTAGCTTTTTTACGATGTTGTTTTAAATATTTCATGTAGCATTCATTTGATCAAATAAATATAACAATAATTTCACAGTTAATTAAAATGCAAACATAAAAGAACAATTTCAAGGCAAACATTTTCAAAGAGAAGTAGAATTTTAAAAAGGTGGGGAATAGCTAACCACTCAGACTCCACAACTGGAAGAAAGCTGAAAAAAGAAAATTCATTGTTACCCTCCACACTGGGGCATTATATTTTTACTTGAAAAAAGATGTTTATAAAGTTAATCTTATTTTTTTAAATTATTATTCTATCAGTGATCTAAACTTTATTGAGAATGTTTAATATACAAAATTTTAATTTAGATATTGAACTTTAATCAACAAATTCAAAGGAAAACATTTTGAGCTAACCTTCCTTTTTTCTGTAAGCTGATAAAGAAAAATATTAGTAAGTATTAAAACTCACACACACTGAATAATTAAATGATTGTACATATATATGTAGCATAAGAACAGAAAAAAAATGTACTTGGTACAGCTTTATGAAAATCAGGTTTTCATAAAAAGGATTGAAGAAATCTTTATAAAATAAGTATTAATAATGGAATATACTCTTTTAAGTAGGGTCACTCATTTTGATTTCATGTTTTTAATTAAAAATCATGGATTTTAAGTTCAATAGTGGAAAGTTTTAAAATGAGTCTGTTTTAAATCACTACATAATTATAAAGCTTTTGTTTTAGACAAAGTAATTTTTCCATTAGTCATCTAAATACTATCTAAAATAAAGTAAGACCTATCAAATAAAAATTGTCCACACTTTCAGCAGCTTTGGATACATGAATAAAACAAATATACAAGATTATTTTATATTATTATTACTAACACTAGTATTATTATTGAATTTTTAATCAATTTTAAAATTTGTTGAACTCATGTAATTTACAGTAAAAAAAGTTTTTAGCTTATTAATTCATTCATTAAATTCTAAAATCCACATATTAATGCTGAAATTTATTGGAAAAACTTTACTTCAAGCAGATCTATAGTATTTCTGAATTTTCCATCAATTTTTTTTTAAATTTTAAAGTTGCTGAATCACAAAAAAAAAGCAATATTGATATTAATCAAATCAAGATGGATATAGAAGCTCAAAGCAAAGAATATGAGATACAGATAATATTCAGAGGTTTAAAATACACTAGACATGTATTTCATATAAATTGTTAAGTGTTTTGACAATCAAACAAACAAGCTAGTGCTTTAAAATGCTTTTAAAATAATGTGTGTACACATTATTTTGCAAGTTTTGATATATGAGCTTAAGATGTTTTTATTCAAACCTTTCTTTTCCCGATAAAAGACTGAAATGTAAATATAACAGGCTATAATATTACTTCTTATATTTTTACAAGCAGCCCGATAGGTTACCTAAATTTTAGCTGCCAAGATTTAAAATCTTTTAAATAATTTGTCTAACTTTATATATAAAGTACAGTTTACACATAAAGTTTTTGGGTTTAGTTTTCTTCTGTTAGAAATTTTGTTGACAAAATCCTTACAAGAATGTGTAACATTTATTTTGTTTTATTTTATTTTACCCACTTGTATTCAAATTGAACTTTTTAAATTACTGTGATAAAACAATTAACTGACTTTATACTTTTTCAAAAGTAATTAATATAAAACGTTTCTGAAATGCAACTAACTTATCTGAAATTGATGGTGAAGATTTTCTAAATCCTTTGCGACTCTTTGTAGCTGAGGGACTCTTGCTAGAACTAAGTAAAGCATTGTTTTAAAGTAAGATAATCGTGAAATAAACTGAAAATGTTGGTAATTCTCTGTGTAATAACTATTTAAAGAGAAAGTGAAAAGTCATACACAAGTAAACATATTTAAACAAGAATATTCTTAAATAAAATGATTATAAAGCCTGAGAATCATATGTTTATCAGATGAGAAAGATATTCAGAATATGGAAGTGACATAGTGCAAGATAAAGAAGGAAGGAATCTATGAATCAAGTTCAATAGAGAAGGTGAGTCAGCGTTCTATGGTTTAAAGAGTGACTGAAAGAAACAAATACATGTATACATTATGAATTTATGTGATTTTCAAATATTGAAATGAATTTATTTTTTAATTTTAATGTAAACCACAATTTTATAAAATAATTTTTGTTGCAGTTATGAGAGGCATATGACAAAAAGGGTGAATAACAACAGAAGTACATTATTTTTTGTAAAAGCATACATCTGAACAGTACTACCTAAATAATCTGTTTTAATGAATGTATCTACAAAAATAAAAATTAGTACTGTTTTGAAATAAAAAGATAGGAGCATAATGTAGACCTCTAACTATTAAGGTGCTTATGTGTTATCACAGGCTTGATATAATGATTAGAATTCAGCTCAAGAGTTAAAGTAATAACAAGACTAGAAGGAATGATGGCAAAGATTATTATTAAAAAAGTTTTAATCTTTATTTTTTATTTACCTAGACAAAAATTCAAATGAGCTAGAATTAAGCACTACAGAAAAACTACATTATACTATCATACTAAGATAGAAGAAGATGAAAACTAAAACTGCACTGGCAACTTACATTTCTCTTTTATCAAAGTCCACTTCATCCTTACTGCTAAAACTTGGTGAGCTCGTTCGAAACTTCCTCTGTCCATCTTCAATTAAATTTGTTACACTTGGCTTAAATGGCACGCCAATTAGGGTCAAAATATTTTGTATTTCTGTAGCAAAATCTAACCCTTCATTAGTCTCGATGGTACTGAAGTAAAAAAGTAATCAAAATAATTCAATATTTATGATAATAATTTTTAAATATATTTTATATTTCTTTTTTTTTTACATTGAACAAATTAAAGTTTTATTAAAGGTTTAGTAAAGGATAAATTAGTATCCTTTAAGGATGCAAACTTAAATGTTTTAAATTAAATTAATTTATGATAAGGTAAAGGAAATTTATGCTTATTGTTTGACAGCTGATGGTTTTTTTATACTTAATTTAATATAAATTCCCACCCTGATTACATTTATGTAAACATTTTAATTAAGGATGCATTTTACTTTGTACAAATAATGATTACACATAAATTAGAAATATTTGCAATCGGTGGAAATAAACATAGATCTAATTGCATTTTTAATAAAAACACAAAATGCTATTTACTTAACAGAATTTAAAATATTTCAGAAATGAAACTTTAAAAAAAAAATTTGAATTATGGAACTAACAGATGAATTAGAATTGTCTTAAAACATTTGATACATAATGAATAATTTACATGTCCTGAACCACAGGATTAGGGGTATTCTCAGTAACAGGCAAATTATGCTCTGATACTGGCAAAGATGAAAAATCTTCAATAAATATCTGGTCATCTGGTGGATTTAGAAAGCTAAAAGGAAAGACATGTGTAAGGTGACATACCCAGATGTATTTCTCATTGCAATTAAAAAACACAATGCTAAAAAAATAATTGAAATCGTTTTGATAATTTTAAAAAGATCTAATTAAAATCACTGTTGCATATTTTTTATATGTATTACCCAAACAAAATTAAAAATTTCAATTTCTTAAATGTAATTTTTTAATGTGATGTAACAATTAGCTTAACTAGAATACATGTGATACAAACTATTTTACAGCATTACAAACTTACTTCTTCAACTTACAAATCCTGAAAAACACAGAGAGTTGCGGGGACAACTTTAAATCTTTCTGGATTTTTGCAGAATCAGCAAGCTGATATCGAACCTTGAAGAGCAATCAATTTAATATATTCATGTCAATTATTTTAACATAACCGTTGAAATTAAATTTAATATATACTCGAAATGGCAAATTTATTTATATGTTGTAATCACATTACCACAGTGAATCTACACAACAACCTAAAAACAGTAGGGGACACAAAAACTATACACATTTCTTATTTCCTGACACTATAACACAAAACCAAATATTTATAACATAACCTTATTTACCAGTACAATGTAAGAACACTTTAGTTTTTAAAATAACATGATAAGCAATAAAACTAAACTCACTGTGTGAAACAGGAGAGGTATACAAGGGTAACAAATGCATTACACTAACATATTCATTCTCATTCTTCCCAGCTTCACACCATTTTGTAAAAAAATATTTCATAAAAGAAAAAAATGTTTGCCATTTTTTCCAAACTTAAACAGAAAAAAAAATTTCATAAAAAATGAATAACAAGCTTTTATGTACTAAATACACTAAAAAGGAGAAAATAAATTATACACTACTATTTAAATAATTATAAAGAAAAGCGTGGTTCACTTTAGTATCTATTAGATACTTTTACTAATATTTAGGAAGAGACCCATGCTTTTCTTTATAGTTATTTAAATAGTAGTGTATAATTTATTTTCTCCTTTTTAGTGCATTTAGTATATAAGATGCTTGTTATTAAAACGTTTTTTATGAAATTTTTCTTTAGTACTTTACATGTTTTTATTTACAATGCAGTCACATGGAGTAGTTGGATAGGACTGCCTACCAATTTGGTCAAATTTTTAATTAATTCATAAAAAATTAATCAGGCAACCAATTAAGTCTAATTGAATGTCATGATGCATTGTCTTCATGTCTTGACCCACGTACCAATTAATCTGTCAGTTAAAAGTGCCTGCAATTTCGCTCTGCCGTTTTGGTCTAGACTGACGAGGAAGTGAGTTAAATAAAAGCTTGTAAAAATAAATGTGTTGGTTAATTTTACCATAAGACCAAATACTGTCTTGTACAAGTCTGGCACATGTGCCTTGATAAACGTGGAGGCAGCAGCTGCTATTTGAGACGCATCACTTTGTCTATGTGCGTCCAGGTGACATTCAATCAATGCACTGTGTAACAATCAGATGTACATTCTCAGTGTTTCAAATTTTGGAATGTAAAACTATTTACTGTGTTAAATAATAACTTAACCAATTTATGCTTAATGAATTCATATAAAAATTTTAATGTTTTAACGAGTATAGCTATCTTATACTTAATGTTATTCCTAACACTATCAACAATACAAGCAGGAGAAACAAAATCAAATATAAAACATCAAGTTCTCTCACATCATAAGCTGTGCTCTCCATTCATAGTCTTTGTCATCTATGTCATCCAATGCTTTTACCACTTGGTGTAGACTTCGGACAAGGTACTGTCGATAACCAAACTTTAAAAATGGCCTACAGAACTGCCAATAGACTACTGAGGCATTGTAGACTAAAAAGTGGTATCTGCAAAGGAATAAAAAGCAAACTGTCTTAACAAATATGAAATCCAAATGAATTCTAGGGAATATACCTACAAAATGAACATTTGAACAATTATTTCTGAGCACCTTCAAAATAAAAATAGCAAAAACAAAAATGCATTTTTAAAAAGAAGCATTTTTTGTTTTTTAATAAAATCAGTCTAAAAGCTGAATTTCTCACCTTGGGTTATTTTTAGCAAACTGGATAGCTTTAATTATATATACAACAGCCTTGTCAAGTTGCTCCTACAAAATATGTTTTCAAAATGTTTTATTAGTTATAGCCTTCAAGGCAGAATTAAATAACTGCAAAGTTTTTTAAATCAGCATACTAATTAAACTTTTTTTAAATAGTTTTTCCTAAAGCTTATTGCTTCAAAAAATCAAAACCTACAGAGTTATTGGCATCAGATGGGGCTAACAACTGTGCCTGACAAAGATAACCTCTACAGAGAAACTGATTTTCAGCTGGTTCTTTCATATGAAACATCTGCAAGCACTGCTTTGCTATATCAATGAATCCATACTGCAAATATAAATTTAATTAAGAATGCTTAAATACAAAAACATCGTTGTAATCTTCTACTTCTTAGTCATCTCACTTAATATTATTTACATCGGAGACAGTCAAACATGGTGGACAAACTAGGTGGTGGTCTCCAGATCTACAGGCACCCTATAAAATTTTTTAATCTGAAATGGGTGTATTGGAGCCACAGTTTAGACTGTGCTTGTTCATACCTGCTACAGTCCTGTAAGATGTGTTTGGTGTTCTCTGGGGCCTTACCACAATTTATTCTAGTAATTTCTAGTTAATATAACATTATAAAAGAGGATTTTTACTTGTATCAATTTAAGTATTCAACTACAATCAAACCTTGATTTTTAAGTTACTAATACAGTCATGTCAACATATTGTAATCATGTACGTTATTTCTAGAAGCTGTTTTATTTTGACTTGATATTTAAAAACACTAGCCTGCAATGCCGTCTCTGCACATATGACATACAGGTCTTGTCCAAAGGAATCAGGGGAGTCAACAGCTGGTCGAGTTTCTGCCACATTTCGAAGTAATTTATACGCATGTTGAAGGGCTGGATTTTCCTCTCCAACTGAAATGTTTTAATGAATTAATTTATTAATTTAAAAAACTGACAAGGGATATGGCAGTTTTAGCTCCATCGTAGAGCGGTATATATTTAACCAAATTAATCCTTTATAGAGCAGAGAACTACAGTATCAAATAAAAGGAAAATACAAGCCTGAAATCATCAAGGTAAAAACTATGGCTTACAGTAACTATTATTTATGAAACTCAACAAACATCTGATAATATCCAACATTATAACATGAGATTACCCTAAATTAAAAAATTAAGTAAATTTATCAAAATCAATATAAAATAAATTAATTAATTAAATTGAACTATTTATTAAGTTGACCCTTCCCATCTGGCATCCTTTACGGCACTTTATGTTGAGTCAATATTCACAGTAGTAGTCTTTTAACCTTTTTTTCTATTTTTTGATATTTAGTGTTTAACCTGATACTACTTAATAGCTATTAGCTACATTATATTACATATTTATTTGACACTCCAGTTGTACAGATGAGAATGAGAAGGACCATATTATAAATTTTAGACTAGTAATGTGAAAGAAAAGTGACTCATTACATTTTAGTAATTATTTCACATTTTTAGGAGGATTTATGTCTTAAAAGTTACAAAAATGTTTAATGTACCTGTTTTTATACAGTTTGAATAAAAAGTAATAAAGAAAGATTAGCAATGTTTTCATCAGATGCAACCGAGCTCTTTTTTTTTACGAGCCATCTTGTTTAAGTTTATTTTTTGTTAACTTATTGTTCCTGATTCAGGAGAAACCATTCTTATTTACAGATGGGTGCTGTTTATATAGCAAATCTTGCTCTTAATCACTACTGTTTAAAGTTTTAAGTTAATTTCTGGCTTATACTAATTAAATATATCTAGACTGACATAGCTTTTAATTTATTCAATTATCTTTTATATTTTACGAGCCGACACACAGCGTATCAAACGCCGCTATTTAGTTGTTTTATTTTCTACTTTTCAGTAATTCATAATTTGTGAATTCGACAGTACCAATGCTGCCACTGAAAATATTTGCTTTAAAACACTAACCCCCCCCCTTCCCCTAACCCCGACCCTACACCCCTCCCCCACCCCCACCCCCCTACCAACCCCCACCCCCCCACCCCCCCCCCCACCCCCCACCCCCCCCCGTGAAAGCAGCCTCCTCTTAGTTATTTCTTAGTTACCTCCTGTAAGTTTAAAATCGAACTAAATTATCTGCCCCTAATAGAAACCCGGCTCTACGACTCTATGATTTGTAAACATTTAGCTTTGTAAACATTTAGCGTGACCACAGCTCACCAGACAATGTGGGGGTGGGGTGGGGGTGGTAGTGATAGTGATAGAGAGAAAAAGAGGGGACTGCAAGGAGGCGCTTGCAGCTTGTTTTCTAACGGCTCCCAGAAGAGAATTATATATATAGATAGATCCCAGAAGAGAATTATATATATAGATACCAGGGGTCTCCAAACTACGACCAGCGGGCCGGATGCTGCCCGCGAGGTCATTTCATCTGGCCCGCAAAGATCTTTTTGTCCACTGAATAAATGTTGTTAGAGATGACTGAGGAACTTTGCACAGAAAATTCAAAACAATTTGAAAATGTAGCTTTGGGTCAAATACCATTGCCCGCCGTGTTGCAGACATTGGCGAAAACATCGTGACTCAAATAGCGAAATATGCTATCAAGCTTCGCCATTTTTCAATTGCAATGGATGAGTCGCTGGACAGTTGTTCCACCTCAACTTCTTGTGTTCATTAAAGTGGGTATAGAAATTGGCCTCTGCTGCAGACATAACTAGTCATTTAAATTTTCTGAACCTAAAACGGCAAGATAGGGAAATCTAGTTTCTTAACCATACACCCACCTAAAGGGCTTCAGATTCAAACTTGTCATGTATTTGGAACAAGTACAGGCCAACAACTTGACGCACTTTCAGCAGTGCAAGTTCTTTATGGCTGAAGCAACCAATGAATTTCCCATGTCATTTACATATGATCATCAAAGACTTCCAGCTGCAGTTTCAGTAGGTTCTCTGACTTGGATTCAAAGGCAGAAGAAGTGAGACTATTTCAAAACCCATTTGAAGCAAATGTGGCCAGTAGCAAAGATGAACTCCAGCTGGAGGTCATTGAATTGCAAGAAAATGACTTCCTTAGAGACACGTTCAAAGTAGGGCAGATTAATTTTCATAAGTTTTTGCACAAGGAAAACTTTCCAATATTAAAAGTTCTGCATCAAAGTACCTTTCAAATTTTGAAACAACATACCTGTGTGAACAAACATTTTCAAGAATGAAATACGTGAAGAACAATTTGAGAGCAAACTTGGACCTCGAGTGTGTTATCGACCCCCGAAAGCGTTTCTTCCAGACTTTTTTCTCCGTGGGGGAGGGGCGGTAGACGTTCTTCGGGAGGGAAGCGCCCCCTCCCTGAAGAGATGCCTTAAAGAAACTCTGGCCCCCGAACTGATATTTCATAGTTAATGTGGCCATCGGACTGAAAAGTTTGGAGACCCCTGTTTTATACCAATATATCTACATATACTTGTATTAAAACCATATCAATGAGTCACCTTTCTTTCACGTTACTAGCCTCGGCCGATTTTACGGACCTAAAACTTTAGATTACCAAATTTTAATAATTGATACCAGTGAGTTGACGAAAATCCTTCCGTAATGTTGTTGACATGGAATAAAAATGTGCTTTTTTTAGATTTAGGACCGTAAAAATAATAAAAGATACAATTTTATTAAAAACTTAAGCCTAAAATTAATTCAGAAATTTAATATTTTTAGAATCGATGCTATACAAGTTGCAGATCCAGAGAACTTGAAAATAGTTTGTTGAGTTTAAGGCTACATTTCTATTTATTTTCATTAAGCCTAAGTTATAACCCAATGTTTCACTTTCGTAAGACAAACATTGATTGGCTGTACAGGAACTCCCTGATCGATTTCTGACAAGCCCCACTTTATAGTTTTTTTTGTTTACAAAAACTTTGCAGATCAAGTTTTTAAATAACAATGCAAATTTAAACCCCATGACCTAGTTTTTCTTTTTTTAGCTTACAATGTGTACAATAAAATTTATGGCGACCTATCGAAAATGCCATTGTTTATGTTGCCATTACTCGTGAAAACCAAATTGTTTTTGCTTTTTTTTTTTTTTATTTTATTTAGTTACCGAAAATATTAAAAACATCAAATACATCAAATGTTTAGTTAAGTCCGAAAAAAACCAGACAGGCAGGATTTTATGACCATATTAATTGTAACTACGCCGTGCATGATTTTTAAATTAATTTATGGACCTCTCAAATAGACAAATACTTTTGAGACTTTCTCGCTGGCTTTAATTGAAATTGGGCATTGAGCTTATTTGTTATTTTTAATATCCCTTAGGTTTAAATATTAGGCCTATATCCTATAATTAAAAATCTTTTAAAACAGTTACCCCCATATTTGCTGGCGCCGATAAGAAGCTTTCGGATAGTTATATCCATTTCAATAAGGATATAGAACTATCAATGTGTTGTTATTGTTTATTGCAGCTATAACGCAGTTGTACTGTCGGCGGCCATATTGTTTACATGCGAAACCTAGCCATAGTAGGTTTACTATTTTTATTTTTAACAAAACTGTTTTGCTTTCAATTTCTTTATTTTCTTTCTTTTACAATAAAACAAAAATATTGTTTTAGATTTTTAGAAATTATTATGGAGAACAAAGTCTCAAAGTATGTATTGAAAATAGGGATATAATCTAATTTTTTAAGTTGTTACTAGGGAGATTTCTGTATGGCTAAAGTTCAGAACTGAATAATAGTATAAAACGAAATATTTACTCTAAGCATAAAAACTTATGTAAATCTTTATCGAGATATTGTATTCAACATTTTTACATTATTTTATATTTATTTTGTTTTTGTTTTAGATTTGTACATTGTTTTTCTATTTTCTACTTTCAACAATTTTGTATTGTTTTGTATAATAGAAAATCAAGTTGTATTTTATGTATAAAACTGGATTTTAAAAACTAGAACAAAATATCACAACGAAATGCGATCTAATTTTTCTCCATCACCCAGCATTGACGATATTTTAATTTCTTGTTTATTCTAAATTCTAAGTTACATTAATTTAATAATTTGACGCGTAAGTCAAAGGTAAACTCTTAGTTTAACAGTAAGTCTAACCCACTTATAACACATTTCTTTTTGTTTGGAATTTTAGTGAGAATCCAGGGTAAGTCAGTAAGTGTATTGTAAATTGTTGTACTGATGAAGTCTGAAGTCACTGTACGTAGCTAGGCCAATGCCGCTGCCGAGAAAATCGGACAAATCGGCTTTTCCCTACCCCCTGCATGTTTAACTCTGTTTTTTGCATCATTTTATTGTGTTTATATTAACATGTTATACACCATTTTGTTCGTAATTGAATAACCTTTTAAACTGTATAATTTTGATTTTAATATGATTTCAAACGTTGAAGAAATCGCCGATTAAATCGCATTTTTTACCCTCCGCGGCGACGTGCCGATTAGGGGGGAGGCTTTTTCGCCTTTTTAAAACAGGGGTGTTACTTTGAGTCTATAGACTCTTCGAGTTTTCGCCATTCAACAGTGAAACTTGGCAGAAATACAGATTAGATGTAGACGTATACAGCGCAGGGTTCGTCGTCAAAATATATTAAATACTTTCGGAGATATCGTACAGCAAAGTTGAACCAAGTTTCCAGGGTTATTTATAGACCAATTTTTAATTTGAACCCTGCGCTGTATTGCTAAAATCTGGACGTTTATTAATATGTATGATATGTACTATAATGCCCTAAGATAGAGACGTCTATAGACTTTGAAGTGGACCGAAAATCAAAACATAACGCGCCGACCGCTGGCCGACTGAACCGCTCGGCTGTGCTTCGAATCGCCGTCTTTAAACAGACGACGCGTTACAAAATTCTTATACACAAATCGAGTTTACATACTACAACAGTGAAACTTGGCAGAAATACAGATTAGATGTAGAAGTATACAGCGCAGGGTTCGTCGTCAAAATATATTAAATACTTTCGGAGATATCGTACAGCAAAGTTGAACCAAGTTTCCCGGGTTATTTATAGACCGATTTTTAATTTGAACCCTGCGCTGTATTGCTGAAATCTGGACGTTTATTTATATGTATGATTTTCTCTACAATACCCCCAAATAAAGCCGCCCATACATTTTAAAATGGAGCAAAAATTAAAATTAACGCGCCGACCGCTGTCCGACTGTTTGCTCTGCTGTGTCGATCTACACACCGTGTGGCACATCCGAATGCCTGGTCACGTGACGCTAGGCGGTCGATCCGATTGGATGATACTGTAAACAATTTCTAAAGATAGATAGGCCTACATGTGTTCCCGTGTTAGACTCGACGGCTATTTCTATTTTATATAGATTAGATCTATAAGCCGACAGGCATGTTTCATAATTTTGTCCTTACCCATTTAAAGGGGAAAAAGTCTTATTAATATTTACGGCTCAGGTTTCAAATTTATCTTGTTTTTAAAATTAATCCAGATGGTTACTGTCCGATTATAACAATTCTGCGTTTCGCGCACCCTAATTTCATTTAAAATTAGAGCATTTCTTTTTCACAAAAACGGCTTTAATTTTTTTCCCGGTCCCCCTTTTTTTCACTACACACTTACATACGCTTAACAACGTGGAGGATACTAGCCTGCCAAATTGACCAAAAAGGGGTGGGTGTGGGTGGGCATTCTGTATAACACCCAACGTAACAACCATAGCCTACGTAAGCCTCACCCCGCCCCCACTAGTCCGTGACGCGACGAGCCGACGGTCGTCGCCTTTGATGTTGTACAACACCCGTACGGTACCTACTCAGTTCGTGGTGGATTCATACCCCACCTACCTCCCCCTTCACTTTGTGGAGTTGATGTTACTAACCCTCGGGCATAGATCAAGAAATCTTGCCAGACTTTTGTCTCTGAAAGTACATAATATTCGTCTGACACGTTCATCGGGTTGGCCGACTAGCCTATCCAGCGGTTGTGTTTACGTAATAGGGCAATAAAATTCGTTGGTCAGAAGATCTGGCTAGTCAGATTAAACAAAATCTAGGCAAAAGCTTGTGGTGGTACACGTGTCTGTGTATAGACACACACCGTAATCTTACACAATTTCTAGAATCTACTAGATCTACACAGTCAAGCACTCAAACACATGCTTTTTTCTTAAGAAAGTTTTTAATTGTAAAAGGCCTACTGGTAGACCTGCAAAAATACATAAGCCTACTTACTACTAGCATAAACATTGGGCTTAAATATAATTTATGTTATAGACCTATAACTTACACTAGATCTATACCTTGTGCAAGTTTTTAAAAAAAAATTTTCCTCCAAAAAATATTTTATTGAAATTGTAAAAAGGAATAATTTTAATATGGGTAATAATATTACGTAATTATCATAAAGCACACTCTGATTCTAATCAGATACATTTGTGACTAGACTAATTTTACAGCAAAATAACAAGAAATATAATTATAATGAAATAGGCCTAAATTTTGGAATAGAGTAGGCCTTTAGTATTGGACATAGATTACATAACATCTTTTAAGAAGTTACATAATCACAAATTTACTATTGTAATAGCATTCTTCTCTTTGTATTGTAAAACTTGATTAGTTATATTTTCTTTTAGTAGGCTATTAACTTGAAGTTAACTGACAATGAGCAAAAGTGATTTCAAAACTAATTAATGGTATATTTTGAGCAAAGGGTGGTATTACATAACCTTAACATTTGATAGTTATGTAACAATGTTGGACCATTTTAAATACTACCATTAGCTTCAGCATATATAAATGTCATATTATAGATTAAAACAGTGTTACATTTAAACAATGACTTCTTATCACATTGATTATTAGATGTTTTAAAAAAACAGAAAGGGGGGTATTACATAATCTATGAGATTAGTCGATTATGTAATCGAAGGACACTTTTTAAAATAGCATCATTGGATTCGGCATACAAAAATCTATAAAATACCATAACATGACATCAATTGATGAAGTTAGCTTGCTTTAATACCACTTTTAGTGAAAAACTCTTTAAAATTTGGTCCATACACTCCCAGTATTTTTCCTCTTTCAGGGTCTACCCCGGTTGTCTGAAAAAACTGCTATTTTTTAATGACAAAAAAATTTATAACTTTTTTGTTTATGGTCAGATTTTGAAAATTTAAACTGATCTGTAATCATATTGACAGCCCCTATCCAAATATGTAACTATTATATTGTTTTACTGAAATTAAATTTTTGCATTGGCCTAGCTACTGTACGTCAGTGTACGTACAGTACCGTACAGAAGTACAGTAGAGTGTACATTACAGTACAGGGTACAGACTTTGTAGGGGGCCTACTCTGTGTAACAGTAACAGACAGATTTTCTCAAATCTACAATTTACTCTAGGCTTATTTTCAATTTAAACATGACCACTGATTAATAGTAGTCGATCTCCTTACCAAAACCGGAAGTCAGAACCTGACCCTGAAACGTCATGCTCTTTTAGTTTTAGGAACTGAACTGCAACGAAAAACGACCGACCTCCGGGCATCAGCGCTCGACAGCTCCTAGATAAATATATATTTGAGATATTTACCATGATTAATTACAATGATGCTGCTTCCCTTCTTCCAAAATCCAATTCCCCATAGAAATACCATGCCGCTGCTATTTTTAGCAACGTTACGCCATTGTTACGCTAGTTGTCAGATAGAAACAACTAATTTTTGTTTTTTGCGGAATACACTGTTAAGTCTAGTATTTTAATTATAATTCAGTTTTAGCATGTGCAGAAATTGTGGGCATTATTATTGTATTAAAGTATTAGTAATTTTTTTTCTTCACTGCAAGCCAAGTAGGCCGACTGCACTGTTAGTTTCATTGAACATAATTCGTGACCAGTCATTAACCTTGTTAATATTAATACTTCGTGGCCTACCCGACTGTATAATTTATATGAAATTATATGTAGTTTTTAATTAGGCCTTAGTATTGTATTTTAAACAATGCTCATTCCGAGCCTTTTTGTGCTAGATCTAATTAGGCCTACTGGCAATTTTTTTTTATTTTTAGACTTGGTCAACCTCGTTAATGCTGTTGTGTTAGTTAAAAATATAGGAATTGTGTGTAAAATTTACGCAGTTACTCAGTTACTACGTAGAATGATATCAATAAATGAAGTAGTAATTATTTCCTTTTAGTTTTAGAAATCTTTTGATACAAAATGTCTAATATTTTATTTTCCAATACATCGTGGTGTGTGGCAGAGTAAACAGAACGGTGCGGTAGGTGACCTAGAATCTCCGAGTTCGAATCCGACGTAAATCAGTTGTGCTTTATTTTATTGTTTCACATGGAAAATGCCACGAGCGGTTTTATTTTCTTTCTTTTTCAAAAAAAATTTTTTTGAACGAAATAATATTTTATAAAATAATTATTCAAAATTTTCCAAACATCGTCGCTCGCATTGCTCGCGAGATCGACTGCTTACATTTTCTTGTCTGCGGGAGAAAAATGTTGACACGGTCGAGGGTTCACCGTGAGTTTAGCAGGCCTACCATACATACGTCACAGCATTAACTATTGCTGTTAGAGATCGTCGGTGGGCAATCCCACCCCTCCCCTCATAAACCAAGCAAATTGTAAATCAACTTAGATTTACTACGCATAGCTGGTAAAAAAAAAAGAAAACTTCGCCTAACCTAATGCTACTACAGAAGAGAATATTAATTTATATTTTTTTATATTTAACTTTAAAGTTAAAAAAAAGTTCATTTATCATCTTACCTAATAATACTGTATTGTCGTTACAGTTAGAAGGACTAGATCTAGATTTCTGTCAGATCTATTTTTAGTTTTGGATATTAATTTTATTGTCATCTTCATGGGTATTGATTGTTCAATTCATCATGGAATGCCTAATGTCTTAAATTGTACATTGTACATAGAATTTATAATAAATATGTCTGATATTTCCTTAATAAACATAATGAATATAAAGTTTTATTTCTAACAAAATGTTTTGGTTTTTTTTGGTAACTAAAATACCCAATGTTGTCGTAATTGCTATGACATCATGCTACGAATGGAAAACACAAACCAACGTAACTTTTTGATATCTTTTGATGGCGAAAAAGAGTTTCGCATTTTAAGATGTTAATAGGTCATTTTGTTTTTGTTTGTTTTCTCGGCCCCTAATTAAGCTAGACCATTAAATTTGGTCTCAAATTAACCAGTAAGTGATATGGTTTGTAATGATATATGATAAGTGACAGAAAATTTTAATTAAAAAATTGTAATAAGACAACCTAATTAATAGACTTCCATTTAATCCATTAGGCACTAATTTTGAGGTTTTTTGTTCGTTTTAAACTAAATTACGTAATTTAATATTTATTGTCACTCACTGCCATGGCATGACACATCTTTCCATGACAACACCAACATGTTATACCACTCTTACACTCTTACGTTTTAGGCCATCATGGCAAACTACGATAAAGGTTCGACTTTTTAATTGGCTATGCACCAGAGTTCCTTACTAGTGATCACCAAATTGTGGTCATGTTTATTTTTGAAAATAGAGTAAATTTTAGATTTCGCAAGAATATCTACTAATTAGGTCTACATTTGATAAAACTAACCAACTTGATCAAGATCAGTGGTTTCTACCTTTTTGGAAGTACCAAACCACTTCAGCTTCTAATGCATATTCACCAAACCCTTCCTTAATAGAAAAATACCAAAATAGAATATTATTTTTTTTTCAAATTCATAACTATATATATTTTTTTTTTATTGGGCCACAAAATGAACTATGCATGAACATCACTGTTCAAAGAACAAAACTATTATGATTTCATACAGATACTGCCCTTTATACAGCAGTTGAGTAATTCATTGCTTCACCTTGATTCAGCTAGCATTGTGCTCATGTATTTTTCATCTCCATGCAGCTTAACCCTTTGAGCCCGCCAGGCCGTTAAACCAGCTTCAACATTAGGCATATATGTCTGAAAAGCCAGTTTTCCTGCCCGATGATCTAGCGTCATATTCCTAGCGGCCGGTATACCGTCTAAATAAATATAATTAGCAGAAGACTGACTAAAAGTGCGTATATGTCTTTTTAGTGCGGGATTATGATTCTAAAAATAGATTTTAGGAAAAGTGAAAGTGTTTACATTTCGTAGCAATGCCGCCGAAACAAAAAGCTGAGCCACGGCCATCGACTTCAGCACATAAAGTTGGTGCAAAAGATGAAACAAAAGACCGAAATATCAACAAAAGAAGTAGAATGACTGCATCTCAGGCAATACAACTACTTATTGATTGTGATGAAGAAGATAATATTCCTGGTCTATATTGTGATGAGAATTTGAGACTGAACACAGTGACATTCAAATTGGCAGTGACGATGAAACTGTTCAAGTACGTTCTAATGCATGTGGTGCTGTAAAACTTCAGTCTCCTTGGCGTGTTGATAATAATTCTTTTTCGGCTACAGATTCAACATTCAAACCAGTTGAAAATGTTGGTGTAAAAAATATTCCAGATTCTATATCAGCTGACTCCAGGTCGGTATGGCCAGGTATAAATAATAACAAACAAATTACTAAATGTAAATTGGTTTCTTCTATGTTCTATCAAAACAATAATTATGTTTTCGTTTTATTTTTATGTACATTGTTCTGTTCATACATTGTAAAAAAAAATAAAGAATTTCAGAATCTTGCTGCATTGTTGTTTGATCCTGAGTCTGGATATCAAATTTGGCTTGATTATCTCAAACGGTTCAAAAGTTATAAGCAAAGTTAGAAGCAGATATTTGGTTTGGCCCTGGGAGCTCAAGAAATGGGAGAAATTAGGTCAGGGAGGGCTCAAAGGGTTAAAGGAGTGTTCTCTTAGTTTTACCAGTTTATTATTAGTTGAGTTGTTTCCCCCATGCCTTTTAAACGATATTAATAATTTGCTATTTATTTCTTTATTTATAATGTGTAAGTAGGGTTATGTTAAAAAAAATATTTTTTAAAATGAAAACATTCAAAATACTCATTTTTATTACCCCCACCCTTACCCTCAACACAGTCACAACAGCCCAAATTAAACAATGAGTGTGACATCATTTATGGACCACATTCCTCTTCCCCCATTATTATAAATGTGATATTTTCCCAATACCTTCATCGATTTTTTAATTTACAATTTTAGACTAGTGAAAATGACTAGAAAGTTCCGAACTAAAATGCCCCCCTCAAAGACTCTTAGTCGAAAAGAAAGAAGGAAAGAAGAAAGAAAGCTAAAGAAAGCAAGAAAAGATGCTTTTGCACATCGTGATTTTGTGAGTATTTTCTATTGTTTTGTTACCGTTTACCACCACAATTGGTTTTTGAGTTCTTTCTTAGATTGACATAAATATATGGGGACAAAAATGGGAAAATTAATTAAAATCTATAGCTGACTAAAATTAACCTTGTCCATTTTTTATTATGTTAAGTAATAAGAACATATATTTCAAACTTTTAAAGACAGTAAATCATTTGACATGATATATTGTTAAGAAATTGGCTGCTGAAATAATGAGTTTACTGTCAAAACTATACCTATTTCTTAGAAATATTAGCTTCATATTTCATAAAATTAATATTTTCAAAAAAAAAATTTTTTAGTATGCTTCACTCAAAATGTTTTCACATTTATTTTTACTACAGAAACTTATCAAGTCCTTGAAAAATGTTGATTCAGCTTTCAAAGCGAAAATGGAAGAAAAAAAAGAACAACGTCTTAAACTCAAGAAAGAAAAGAAAACAGTTGAAAAAAAAGAAGAAGTTAAAGAGGTAAGATATTTATTTCTTTTTAAATTATTGACTTATAAAAAAAATACAGTCAAGCCATTGTTGTAGGCCAAACTAGAGTTTTTTAATTGTTAGAAATATTTTTGTTAAATCACCTAATAACTTGATCCTGTTAATGTTCAACACATTATTTGAGAAAAAACACTAAAAGTATGGGATGTTAAATATATTTATGCATATTGCATGATTTTGTCTTGAAATTAACTACCTTTTATGTTGTACAGAAGCAGGATTCTCGGATTGAAGGATTAAAACTTGCCATCCAAAAAGATGAAAAGGAATTGAAGCAACTCGAGAAAAATTTGAAATTTAGAAAGAAAAAAGGAAAGAAAAATCTGCCCTCTTCATTTATGAAAGATGGATTGGACTGTATCTTTTCTGTTTATTCTAGATTTATATATATCAAATCAGAACCATGGATATACAATTATATTATATCAATTTAATTACAAAAACTAACATTCAAACCAGAGAAATAGCTTCCTTTTTTAGGGAATTTTTTTTTCTTGAGGAAAATAGACCATTTATTTAAAACTTACACTTCAATTTTTCTAATACTTCCTTGAAATTTATAATTCCTGCATGAAAAAACTAATAATACTTTAATTAGTTATCACTTCTGTACAATTTACAAAAGACACATTTGGTTAAGTAAAAAATATGTTGACGGACTAGAATTCTTGTTGTCATTGTGCTTTCCAAGATGTTTTATTTTCTTTAACTTTAGAAAAGACATTTTGGATGTGACAGATGCAGATAAAATCAAAACGTTAGAAGATGTTGGTACTGGGTATGTAAAAGACTCAGATGACAGTGATTCAGAGTCTGAGTTTGATGATTCAGAACAGGGTTCAGAATCAGGTAAAATATTTTCATCTTAGTGAAGCATGACACGATGTGATAGTTTGGCAAAATTTACAGAGAATTTAAACTTTTTACAGAGGTGGAAACAGATACAAATTTACAATCACCAAAATCTGCAGCATTCAAAGGAGAAACAAAAAGTCAGGTTGGTAAGAAAACAGAGAAAGAGGATGGTAAAAAGGGTAAAACAGCTATAAGTACTGGGAAAAAAGTAACTTTTGCATTGAAAGAAGCAGCTCATTCAGATGGTGATTCTGAAGGGTTGGATAGTGATGAGGATGCAGTTTTGAACAGCGATGAAGATATAGAAGAAGATGACAGTGATCTAGATGAACCCATGGAGTCTGATGAAGACTTGGAAACAGAGAAACCACCAAGGAAAAGACCCAGAACAGAGGAGGATTTAAAGGAAGATATTTATGGCAGACTTAGAGACAAGGAGGGAAATATAGTGAAGCCTTCAGCTCCTGGAGCTTATGTACCTCCTGCTAAAAGAGCTCTAATGTCTGGTTCACATAATGAGATGCTACACAAAAGATTAAAAGGACTTGTGAACAAGTAAATATTTCTTTGACCTCCTTCCCGCTCCAACGAAATTCCTTTATTTTTGCATATTTTATAAAATTAAAATTAATTTTTTTAATGAATATGAAACTTCTTTAAAAATAATGTATGAAATGATGAAAACTTGACTTGTTCGCAGGGTGAGTGAAGGCACGATTCAAGCCATAAGTTCCCAGGTAGAGTCTCTTTACCTGGACAACAGCAGAGCTGATGTGAATGAGACTCTGACATCCCTCATCATGGAGGCTGTGGTAACACCAGTGCTAAGCCCTGAGAGGTTGGTTGCAGAACTAGCCATGTTGGTAGCAATTCTCTACAACAATGTAGGCTCTGAAGTGGGTAAGTGCTTGTTTTAGCTGATGCTCTTTGGCTAGCAATGTTTGATTTAGTTAGGTCATTTGTCAGCTTGCAAATTGGTAGTAAGATTTAATTAGCAATGTCCTGTGGTAGAGCACTTGATTCTGAACCTGAACATCTTAGTTTTGGTTCCATGGCTTTAGTCCATAGGATGTCCACCAGCTCTGATTAGCATCTGACTTCAGTTTGGAAAAGTAAAATGGGGTGGAATTATTACTGACCATACAATCACTTCAAATGCTGAGGTCAAAGAAAACCTCACATACCCTTGTTAAACTTTATGAACTTATAGTCTGCAAAGTTATTTTTCTTTTACTGTAATTATAGCTATTTAGAAAGTTTATCAATAAACTATGTGTGTTTTGTTTTAGGAGCATTTGTGTTGCAGAAACTAGCCAAAAAATTTGACACCCTTTTAAGTGAGCCTCAGTATGGCATGGGAAAGCAAATGGAAAATGTTCTACTCTTGATTGCAAATATTTATAATTTTAAGGTTTGTCAGATATTATTCAAATGTAACATATAAAACTAAACTTTTAATCATAGTCACTTCTCTTTTTTTCAATAAATACAATAATGAAAATGAAATACTTTAACCTAAATCAATTATAAAGTAATGAAAATTGTTAAGAAACATGCAGAAAATAATATTGCTTTCGTAAAGTTAATATGGAGAAAAAATCTGTGTCATTTGCAGGTAATTCACTGTAAGTTAATGTTCAACATTATTGAAAAGTTCATTGCTCATTTTGGTGAAAGAGATATAGAGCTCCTGCTTCAAATTTTAAAAAGTAAGTTGAAATTGTTTGCTTCATACTGTTTATTTTATATTGATTTTTGTTACATTTATATCTTATAGTATAACCCTAACTTAATTCTGAACAAGTTTATTTTGTTTCTCTATTTGTAGCTGTAGGATTCAATCTTCGTAAGGATGACCCAGCTAAACTGAAGCAAGTTATTTTAGATATCCAAGCTAAAGCCAAAGCTGCAGAGAGCTCAGGTGGTGAAGGAATGCAGTCCCGCATAAAATTCATGCTTGACATTTTAATGGCTGTACGCAACAACAACATGCGTAAAATTCCAAATTGTGATAACAGTCACATTGAACATTTGAAAAAAATAATCAAGAACTTTATCAGAGGTATTTATTTAATTAATTAGTATTCTCTTTGTTCATCTCCTAATTATTATAAAGTCAATTTTATATAAGTATTTTTATTTTCTAAAACTAAAATAAAATATAACCTTTTTTAATGAATTGACATGTTAGTTTTATCAAAAATTTTAATAAATTTTAGAAAACTGTTCTACCATATTAATACTCAAGTCATGTGTGTCCTGAACCTAATTTTTCTGTATTTTCTGCTTCTAGCCCAATCTCTTGGAGATGACCAACTTAATATCAGCTTAGAAGATTTACTGAAAGCTGATCAAGTTGGTCGGTGGTGGATTGTTGGCTCAGCATGGGAGGGTAGAAAAGACACTGATAGTGTGAAAGGTAAATAGACCTCACTCTGAGCTAAAACCTTCTGTCATTTTATTACAGCAGCTTTTTAAAATATTTAGTTCTTAATCTCATAATTAAAATCTCATGATCCTTGATTTGATTTTCTTGACATAGTTTTATATGTTTATTTGACTTGGTGCCTAGCTGAATGTTAAACTAGAAAACAAAATGTATAGAGTTTTGTTTGTTTTAGATGCCAAATCCAGAACAGAAACTTCAGTGACAGGCACATTTAGCAAACAAATGTTAAAATTAGCCAAACAGCAAGGAATGAATACTGACATTCGTAGGAACATTTTCTGTATTCTTGGAACCAGTGAGGTAAGATTTCTAATACAATGTTTAGATCTGTTGTTTTCTCGTGCATTGTTTATGGGATTAACCTCCTACATATCGAGTGGGTTTTTTTATGAATTGGTTAAAAGAGTTTTAATTGACTTTAAATAAACTTTATTTTTTTCAGGATTTTGAAGATGCTTTTGCCAGACTCTTGCGTCTTGGACTTAATCGAACGCAGGAGAGGGAAATAATCCATGTCCTTATGCACTGTTGTATGAATGAAAAGGAGTACAATCCTTTCTACAGTTTCTTAGCACAAAAGTTGTGTCTTTTTGATCGCAGATTTATGGTATGAATACTTTCATTTATTATATTATAGGATATTTTATAAAATATGATTTTATTTGTTTTGTGTTTTTAAATCTATTTTGACTTAAAATTCTTATTTTTAGATTACAGTTCAGTTCAGCATGTGGGATAAATTTAAAGGAATAGATTCTATGGACAAACTGTCTAGAGTAAAACTTGGACACCTGCTTTCTCATCTTCTTCTAACTAAAGCACTGTCCATTTCTATTTTCAAGGTCAGTGTACACGATTTTCTGGCTTTGTTTATTTCCTTGTTTTTTATTTATAACATTTTCAATTTTGAAAAATACTTTTATTTCTAGGTATAATACATTTTAGTTTAAAGAATTTTTTTATTCAAATTGTTTGATTAATTTATTTTGTTGTCCATTTTTAATCTATATGTTGATTTGAAACTTTTAAAGCAGAGGCGTAGCGTCCCTTCCGGCGTCCGGGGACAATCTTTCAATTTGGCGACCCCTCGGGAGCAAATTTTTAATTTGCACCCCCCCCCCCCCCCCTCAACTTTTCGATTTGCACCACCCCCCCCCCCCCCTCAAACTGCAAAATGCAGCTAAAATGACATTTTAATTTGTTGTTACAACCCATTGCTACGCCTCTGTTTTAAAGAATAATTTATTTATTTTGTTTGTATTAAAGGTTATAGACTTTGGAATGGAAAGCAAGAAAATTATTAGATTTTTGACTCAAGTGCTGACAGAAATCCTGACTAGTTCTAATGAAGCAACTGTCATTGAGATGTTTGAGCGCATTGCTCCGTTCCCAAAGTTAAAGACACTCAGGCAGGGCTTGCAAGTGTTCATGAGAATCCATTTGAAAGACAGCAAGGACAAAGGTCAAGGTGGACTACTGTTGCTGGAGAGAATTGAAAAGGCTGAGGCAGCTATGTTTAGTCACCAGACATCTAACATGTTATTGTAATATTTACACTTCGTTTCAAGTTTGGTATGGTGCAGTGATTTCGTGAATGAGAATCATGTATGAATGAAGAATGACTGATTCTAATTGGTTGACAGCTTGCAAAGGTCTGTACTAATATCTGATAGTAAACATCTGAATTTATTTTGAAAGATTGTTTTGTATTTTTTTTTAATGTTAAATTTGATTGAAACAATAAAAATGTAACTCAAATTATAGGTCTTGTGTGGTTAACGCAGCACCACTGTATTCTGAGAATTTTGTGATTAAAGAGTATCATAAACACTATTCCCTAGCACAACTGATCATAAAATGAGATTTTGTTTTAATGAGCATCATAAACATTTATTTAGAACAGCTGACATGTACATCATAAAATCATTTAAAATGTTATTGTTTCCGATATATGTATTTCTTTTTATTGTGTTTAGACTTAAATACCAATAAAAAATTTGGTTTGTGAATTTTCAATTTTTAGATTTACATGGAGAAATTCACAAAATTATCTTTAAGAAACAAATTATACTTATACACTCCACAAGGTTCTGATCTGTACAGGATGGAATCAGGTTAAGGCAGCTAGATTTTTAAGATCCAATATCTCTTTTACACTTGGGTGACAAAAGCTGGGTCTACTGTTCTATTGAAATAAAAGTCATTTAGAAATTGTAAATGTTGAAATAATTAAATGGCCATATCAGTAGTTCAAACATTTGGTTCACTGCCTCTGTGAAGTAGGTATGTGATTTTAAAGGTTCGACTAAGTAACGTGGTGTTTTGATTATGAATGTCACAGAAACAGGTCAACCTTACTTCATCAGCCCTTTTGTATACACATTGTCAGATGAACATATTAGCATAAACTACTGCTGCATTATGGGAAATTAAATTAAATTTACACAATTTGTGAAACTGTCTTCATTACTATAACAGGGGAGACAAGCACAGTAAAAATAGAAGTTTGTCATTCAAGTATAACAATATAAAGTTCAGTACTGGTGTGTTAATAAAGCAGGATTGAAGCTTCTTCAAATAGTTCTATATCTAAATGTAATGCACATTAGTCAACCTAGCATACTTAGATAATTCAATATCAGTTTTATAATATGCAAAATAATAAGTTCTTAAACAAGTTCTATTCTCATTGAGTCTTTTATTGAAAACAATGGTAATACAAATTGAAATTTTGTTTCATGTTGATTACAGAGTAGATCCAGCTTTAAAATCTTGTTTTATTTTCTTCAAAAGTTCTGGGTTTTGAAAAATGTCCAATGCTACCATGGCCAGTATTTTACCTTGAGCAATAGTTGAAGGCTGAGCTTCAGGCGAACCTAATGATGTGTTTATAATTAAAACAGGTGATTTAAAGTTAGGTTAATTGGCACATTAAAATCTAATTTGAAGTTAGGTGAATTGGCACATTAAAATTTAATTTGAAGTTAGGTGAATTGGCACATTAAAATTTAATTTGAAGTTAGGTGAATTGGCACATTAAAATTTAATTTGACGTTAGGTGAATTGGCACATTAAAATTTAATTTGAAGTTAGGTGAATACAAAGAAAACTAAATAAAAAATAAATAAATAACCTGTAACTAACTGCTAACACTCTTTAAATAAATTTAAACATGAGTAACTTACAATTTGGTTATTTACACTCTTTATGTAGTTTGGTGTGGTATAGTAATAGGGCATTAAATTATAGGATTTTCCAGATTTTACACAGCTATTAAAGCTAAAGACAACTAACAAGGTGTTGATCACCCCATCCTCCACCCAGTAAATGATACAACCAGTGATTAAATCTATCCCTGTTGGTGATTTTTTAAATGCATTACCTGCGGCAGTGGCAAAATCTACTGTATGGTTGACTGCCTCTGTACCACAGTGATAGGTGGGGTGTAGACAAGGTAACTTGTGACTTAAGTTACCCATGTCAGTAGAACCAAGGATCTGATGAAAAGATGGGTCACTATTTACATCACAGCTTTAAAGATACAGAGTACATCAGCACTAAGGTATATCTGACAAACAGTTGATCTGATGAAAAGATGGGGCACTGTTTACATCACAGCTTTAAAGATACAGAGTACATCAGCACTAAGGAATATCTAACAAACAGTTGATCTAATGAAAAGATGGGGCACTATTTACATCACAGCTTTAAAGATATTGAGTACATAAGCATTCTATGGAATATCTGACAAGCATATTGTACAGGTTTTTCGGTGTGTTGAGAATGTTCATTTTATCCATACTCTACACAGGTAGAGTTCAGTATTTGTTTCTTTGAGTAAACAACAAATAGGACCTTGAATTAAATTGAGAAGTTCAAAATTTAACTATACATACAATCATTAATGATTTAACTCACTTTTTTATTATTAATCTGTGGGAATTCCATTCCCACCAAAGTGCCATTGCTTTCATACAACTGTGCCAGAGTTTCATTGGTTGCCAGAGACTGATAAGGTTTAACTACATCTGTTATATTTACCTGAAGTTTGACGATATTGAAGAACATAAATATAAAATCAATAGGAAATATATCTGCAGATTTAGTAGAATAAAAACAAACAAAAATGTTATTACAAAGTGTAAATCTAAATAGCAATTTTAAGAGGTTAACAATCACAAAGAAGATCTTTAACAGAAATTTAAGTTTTAATTTCTGAAGCTTTGAACTTTGACTGAGACAAGAAAAAACATTGCACAACAAACACCAAGGGGAATTCAAGAAAGAGAAAATGGTATGAAAGAGAGGCTGTTATTAGCATAATGAGAATTACTAAAAAGAAGTAGGCCAACTCCAAGATATATGAGAAACAAAAATATGGGTGGCAGAAATAATGGAAGATTTGATTTATCTCATCATAAACTTAAAACTTCATTTTTAACTAAGTGATTGTAATTACATGAGTACAGATTTATTTACTATTTTAGCATGCAAATAGCACCAAAAAAATACCACAAACTTGAAGATTGAAGTCAAGTTTAACCAGGAGAGTAAAAAATATTTACCGTACAGCCAGTAGCAGTAGCTGAAGCAACAATACAGTTCTTCACTTTTTCTTCTAGTTCTTTGCCCTCAGATTCTAAAGGAGCCCTCACTTGGATTAGCATTTCTGTTTCAGCTGGGATAATATTTGTTTTTGTCCCTCCTTTTGTTATTATAGCTGAGGAAATAATTATTTTTTTTAAATCACTAGGTCTATTTAGAGAGTCTATGTACCTTTATTCAACAGTTGCTGTTTTTTTATAAAGTCACATAGATAATTTTATCTATGTAAACCCTCAACACAACTTAATGACAAGCCCAAAGAAATTAAATGGCAAGCCCAGACAAAATTTAATGACAAGCCCAAACTATACGAGCTCACCATGTATTCTCCAATTAGGCTTAATTTGCTGTCTCAGTGTTGAAATATTCATATAACAAAGCACAGCTGCATCAAGGGCATTCACTCCTTCCCAAGGGAAGCCAGCAGCATGTGATGCTTTACCATGGTAATTTGCATACAATCTTTTTGAACAGAATTTAAACATACAGAAAATTTGACATTTACTATACAATTTAAAAAAAAAAAAATTCCATAACTTAATGATTTGCTTTAAATAATTTAAAAATATTTTTAAAAAGAACATCTATTGCATTATTAAAGTTGATAAATATGCCTAACGACAATAATAGTCTTCTACCTTAAATAGTAGCAAAAATTAATTGTATGGTTAATCTCTAAATTTAACCTTTTACTTCCAAGAAAAATAGGCCTGGCATCAGTAAAAGATGTAGGATGTGACATCATAGCTACATCAACATCATCAAACACACCAGCATTTAGCAGGTCTATCTTTCCTCCCCCAGCCTCCTCTGCTGGAGTTCCTATGATGGACAGCTGCAAAATTTACCAACTTGTTCATACTAAATGAAAACTTTTGGTGGAAAAGTTTTGGGTTAGAGGCATAGTTTCTGTGATAAGTGTTACAATTAGTTTCTGTGATAAAAGCTAGCAATATAGTTTCTGTGAACCAGTTAGCAGTAGTTTATGTGTTAAGTATAAGTAGTATAGTTTCTGTGGTAGGGCCTAAGTGTTAACAGCATAGTTTTGGTAATGAGTAAGATATTTCATAAATAGTTTTTAATATAGCTTTCGACATTCATACTGAATGTTTAAGGAAGCTATTTTTTATTCATTACAAACCCTTAAAAGGTATATTTTTTTTCTTAGAACAAAATAGGTTATTTAAAAATATGGAACATACTTTCCATAATTTATTTCCTGCTTTTTCCATTGCAGCTTTAATTCCAATGGCAGCAGCCAGGCCTATTTCTGCAATCAAGTTGTGCCCACAGGCATGGCCAATATCTGGGAGAGCATCATACTCACAAAGGACAGCCACATGTGGTGAATAACCTCAAGAATATACATGGGTTTAATTAATTCATTATTCAAAAATAAATAGTCCTACAAGTACAATTACAATAAATTGACAATACAGATTTAGGCCTATATTTATATTAAATCAATAGTTTGGAAACTAGATAGGATTTTTATCTAAGTTTGTGCTATGATCTAGGGCTTGCATGAAACAATGATTTCTGGTTGATGGTGATATTCATATGAAAAAGTAGGGTTTCTTGAAACAGGGGGAGGGGATAAAATAATTCTCCTGATTTCTATTTTGTAAGTTAGCTAATCCCCCTACACCCCCCCCCCCCCCCAGCATTCTTTATTTATCCTCTTTCCCTGTTTTTGCTACCCTATCTTTCCTCCTAAATAAGAAAATTAGACTAAGTAAGGACGAAATCAACCGTTGCATGCCTAATTTCCTATGCGTTAAACATTTAAGATTGCGACGTGTATTTTCATAATAGGGAAAAATTTGTGTCTGCACCTTCTGTGACCTATATTTATTTACTGTACACATACCTTCCACGTCACGACCTTGGTTCCCCCATCGAGCAACAAATGCTGTTTGAAGTTTGAAATGTCGTTCTACACGAAAACCTTGATCCTCTAAAAACCGAGTCAAAGCGTCGTGAGATTTTCTTTCCTCAAAGGCCAGCTCTTTAAGGTTCCATATTTCCGTGCTAATAGCATTTAGCAGGCCAGCGTCACTGTCTATCACTTCACATGCATACTGTTTCAAGGGATCCATGTTATTTTAAAACAAAACAACGTCAAACGCAGGCCTATACTCTGTACTATAAAGATAGTTCTATAACAAGAAGTTGATCTAGATCTAAATAGTTTTGTTCTTTTAAAAACTAGATCTTCTCTCGGCCTACACTACACGGTTTAATCTTTTATCAGCCCCTGTTATCCAAATAAACGGTTAGCCGTAACCTTGACCTAATTTTCCATAAAAATCCGTTTTCACGCCTCTTTTCTTCATGCAATTTGCGCACACATAAAAATGCGCAAACAGAAAAATGCGCAAACAGAAAAAAGCGTTCCGCTGCGCGCGGATGAGGGTCCCCGCATTGGGGCGAATATTCCTTCAGCGCACCGCGCTGCGCGCGGGTGACAGTAGCCCTTTGGTGCGAATACGGATAGGCCTATTCACGAAAATTAAATTACGGTAAAAAAATTGAGAGCCAACGCTCTCACGAACATCCATCTAGACATCTCTCCTCCCCGAACTCGCGTCGTCATCTAAACCGTCGCCGGACCAGACGCCAAGGGAGAGACTTCCGAAATCCATAGCGATGACGGAATGACTGACACACTACCTGGTGGCTTATATTATAGATTAGATTAGATTAGATAGATTATAGAAAATAGTTTATTTTCTCTTTTACTGCATTATTACTTAAAAGCTTGTAATTTAAACGTTTTTATGCATTTTATTTAAAACGAGATGGTTGTGCATAATAAAAGCTCTCCGCGGACGCTCGATTAAGCGTGTTGTTTGTCGGCAGTTTACATTGCATCGAGAGTTAAAGAAGGAAAATTAGGAAATAATCTGTAAAGGCGTTGCGCCATAAAGTACCATAACGAAACACGGGTATCAGCTAGTCTAAAAGTGCATGATAACTGACGCGTTGTTTAAACTCTTATAAAATGTTGCACAGTATCCGAGGGCGTTCGCCCAGGTTTTCATCAACATCCGCGCATAGTGCATTACTTTATTGTGAGTAATTTGTGTGTTAGAACCTTATTGAAGAGCAGTAGCGTAGCGAGGGGGGCGGGGGGGGGGGACATATGTCCCCGGGCGCCGAGCTTAGGGGGCGCCAAAATGGGTTGGAAAAATAAATTGAAAGGTTGAGGGGGGTGCATATTGAAAGTTTGAGGGGGGGTGCAAATCAAAATCTCGAAGGGGGGGGGGTGCAAATCGAAAAGTTTGTCCCCGGGCGCCGGGAAGGGTCGCTACGCCTCTGTTGAAGAGCACTGAAGTCTGCTGCTAAGGTTGCTTGTGACGGCCTTGTAAGGCTGTCATAGTTTATGAGTTGTTGTGTGTGTGTCAGAAAAATTACTACCTATACGCCAGAACGTGGTTCATCACGGTCCAAGGTCATGGTCTGGTACACAAATGAGTCCCGATCAAAATAAACAACAGTTGATACTGTAGATTACGATGCACCGCCACAGATGACAGGGGAATCTAACAAGAATTGTAGATGAAGGCGTACTGCTAGCTACAGATGAGATGACATCACGGCAAGTGTAGATGGGAACGTACTGTGACAGATAAGTTCAGCAAACCGCTGCATCCAGTGGCGGATTAAGGGGGGTGCTGAGGGGGCTGCAGCCAGGGGCCCCCGATTTTTTGGGGCCCCCAAATTTCCTTTTTCAATCATAGTAAATTTCCCTTTAAAGTGAAACCTTTGTTTTTTTTGTTTGTTTTTTACTTTAAAAGTAAAAGCCAATGTTTTAATATCTGAATGACAAGTTTATTTCAATTTTTGATCAAAATATCAAACTCGAGCACACACTTTAGTATAAATACCAGCTCGGACAGCGTTTGCAATAAATAAATTGGGTTGATTTTAGAGTTAAAAACAAAAAACAGCGGTCGAATTCTGACACATAAATGACATGCATCTGGTGTGAATACTGTATGATTTAAACTTTTAAAAACATTTATAGGCCTTTACTTTTAGTGAACGTTAATATCGGGTTTACATGCCAGGGATGACGCCTGTGGAAATCTAACTTTTTGTTGGCCTCATAAATGAATGAATAAGGGGTCGGCGTGATCGAGTCGGTAAAGCTCATGGTTGCTAAACCGAAAAGCCTCGAGTTCGAACCCTCGGGCAGATGAGGCTCGTAAGCTGGGGATAGCCACTCTTCTAGGAGAGACAACTCCAAAATCAAACAACTGCTGCCTTGTAGTTTGTTCTTGGTTGGACAAAGGTTATGGAAGCAAATCCAATAAAATACTTTAAAAAAAACTTTTCAAAAAAACCACGTTTTTCTTGTGGACTAAAAAGTAGAAAATGACTGCTCGTAGATTTTGTGCTTCCTCGAGCTGTGCAGGTTCTTGTGATGACTGTTCATACATTTGATGACAAAAAACGTGGGTACGTTCACCATCAAATTTCCAAAATTCGTGTGTTGTGTGCTTTTCGCTTTAATCATAAATCTGCCCGACCCACGTTTTTTGTCATCAAATGTATGAACAGTCATCACAAGAACCTGCACAGCTCGAGGAAGCACAAAATCTACGAGCAGTCATTGGTAGATCCCCTAGGGTCGGAAGAAAAAATTATTTTCTACTTTTTAGTCCACAAGAAAAACGTGGTTTTTTAAAAAGTTTTTTTTTTTAAGTATTTTATTTTCTCCTTTTTAGTCCGTTGCTACACATGAAAAACGTGGTTTTTAAAAAGTTTTTTATATAGTTTATTTTCTACTTTATCTAATGACTTGATTAAGTATGACTTGACTAAGTGTTTTTAAATACACGGACTAAAAATCTTGAGCGACCGATACGCTTTAAACAGAGAAGGGGTATCAGCTAGTCTAAATTTAGGTCTCTAATTGCTAGTTTTTTATGATTGCATCTGAAATTGTTATGTGAGCTTGGCAGTGCGAGACCCACAGCAGCCTACATGCCGTGACCAGGATTAGAACCTGGGTTGTCGCGGCCATAACGCGAAGTACTAACCACTATACGATCACGGCCAGCGCGCTCACATCGATTGGGGCCGAAGTAACTGTGTCAATAGGCCTCCAGTCTTGTCGGTATCTTTAGAAATTATGTCCTCAATTTTAGGGTCCTTGGGGCGTAATTTAATTAAGCTAATTTAGGTCTCTAATTGCTAGTTTTTATGATTGCATCTGAAATTGTTAGGCGAAAATAGCCTGCATGCCGAATTTCAGATGTCTAGAGCAATCAGAAGTGAGCTAATTTTCGATGTCAATTTTAACAACAAACCCACAAACGCGAAGCTGAGTTAAGAAAAACGTGTTAAAAAGAAAAGCAGGCTGAAATCGGTCAATGGCCTCAATGGCGCATAACAAGTTGACACGTAACGCTTAATTGTGTTGGAGGCGTGGTCGAGTCAGCAAAAAGCTCATGATTGATAAATTCAAACAAAGTCTCGAGTTCAAACCCAGTGACAGATAAATCTCGATCCCCTTCAACACTAATAATTAAGAACGAAGAAGAAGAAAGAAGAAAGAATGACACCTAAGAGGATGGAGGTGTGGTTTTTTTTACGCTTATACCGTGCTTACTGTTTTAGTTGGGCCTAGTTTAACCTCTGTATGTTATTGATAATTTCCTACATAATGTGGTTTGATATTCTTTGTTTTCTTTTTGCGTCTATAATCAAACAAGTGCCACCAGTCTTTATCGACTGCTCTGAAACGACATTATAATATTCTCATGGATATTTACGTTTGTTCAAGGTTAGTCTGCATTTCCAGCTTTCTCATGCCCAATATAAATACTTAAATTACAGTGCAATAACTATCGTGACACGGATATACAGGCTCAGGAGTTTGACTCCCATTAGCCAGGGAGGTCTCGACGTAGTGAACTCCAACTAAATGGCAAATTGTGGACTGAATCAGTCTCACTGAGATGTTGGTTTGAAACACTACATGATGGTCGCTTGCTTATCAATCCGTAGGCTCTATTCAGGCTTTACTTCCCCCACCACCAGACGCAGGACATCGTCTTACCGTCTGGTACCCGGCTAGATCGCGGGGCAGAGGTCGGAAACTTCTACAAGCGTAAACTAAACAGTCATATATTTAGTGCTACTGACGTAGCGGATGGATCTCGCCTCCTTGTGTTTTGTAAGTGTGTGTGTCGTGGTAGTGGGTGGGGACAACATATAATCATGATAAAAATGAGTACATATTGGTTAGATGTTAGGGGATCGGCGTGGTCGAGTCGGTAAAGCTCGTGGATGCTTAACTGAAATGTCTCGAGTTCAAATCCTCGGGCAGATGAGGCTCGTTTGCTGGGGATAGCCACTCTTCTAGGAGAGACAACTCCAAAATCAAACATCTGCTGTAGTTTGTTCTTGGTTGGGCAAAGGCTATGGAAACACGTTAAAATAAACCGGGAGTGATCTCCCATAAGCTTTCTCGAATATTCCTAAATAAAACAACAGGGAATGGGAACTCCATTTTAAATACTTAAAGTTTTTAAAATACAATAAAACCTCATAGAAAAAAAGGATTGCACACCAAGTGAACGTCAAATGAAATGTGCATAATAGTGCGCAATATTATTAGTACTTTATAAATTACATGCGTTTTTTGAGAAATCGGAAATAGCGTAAATTAGTACTTCCGGTCAACGGAAATTACTCAAAATTTGACAGAAGGTAGAGAATTAAAACTTTTAACGTACATGTGAAATTTCATTTATCTATCTGAAATAGTACTCAAGTTATAGGCTTTTAAAAAATTCAAACTAGAAAAAGTTCCACTTCCAGTTATCGGAAATCGCTGAAAAGTTGAAAAGGATCTACACATTTTATATAATACTTATATATGAAATTTCATCAACCTAGCTTTAACGGTACTCAAGTTATCGTGTTTACACACATACACATACACAGACACAGAGACATACGGACAAGATTGCAAAATTATGTTTTTTTTTCCGTATCAGTGAGGTGTAAAACGTAGAGATTTGTAAAAATCTCAAATTTTTTTGCACGATTACAAGACTTTCTCTATACTTCGTATATACGAGAAAGTAAAAATAAAATAAAAGTGATTGCCTAAAGTAGAAGTTGGGGCGTTCGTTAATCGAGGTACGATAGTCTTGAATTAAGTGGCTCAATGTTTTACTGTGAGCAGGTTATTTTGTTTCAGTTTTAATATAAGCAAACAGATAGCCATTTCGGTTTGCTATAATTTGAATGCAATAGTTCATACCTTGCC